ATTTAATTAGATTTCTGCAGACAGGAAGAAGTCCTGTATCGATTCCAGTTTAATCAAACAAAGAAGAGAGAGGAGAGGAGGAAAATGAGAACGAGAGACAGAGAGATGGAGGGAAGTACAAAGACATGTAAGGCTGACAGATGAAAGAGGAGGAAGATGAAGGTTGAGAAAGCACTGAAGGAAAGGCAGAGAGGGAGTTTAAGAAGTGTAAGTTTTAGACTGACAGGAAACAGAAAACAGTGACAGAAAAGTGAGAAACGGTTTCACCCAGAAGATTTCATCCTCCTTCCCAGAAACTTTTACAGTTCATAGAGAGAGAGAGAAACTTTCAGACTGACAGAGGAGAGAAGGAAACAAACAGAGAGAGAGAGAGGGAGAGAGAGAGAGAGAGAGAGAAAGAGAGAGAGAGAGAGGGCAGAGGAGGAAACATTTCCATGTCGGGCTGTAATTAGCATAATATTTTTCTCTGTGTGTCTCCATCATCCTATTTATAACTGTCAGAGTGAAGGACAGAGATGAAAGAGTGGAAATAACGAACATGAAATTGTCTCTGTTAAACACGGGTGTGTGTGTGTGTGTGTGTGTGTGTGTGTGTGTGTGTGTGTGTGTGTGTGTGTGTGTGTGTGTGTGTGTGTGTGTGAGAGAGTGTGTGTGAGAGAAAGAGAGAGAGAGAGTTAATCCTGACTGGACGTGTAATGACTGCTTGCTCTATTTCAACAGTATTTTGCATAAAAGACAAATTTGTTCCATAGTGTCTTGTATCAAAGCGAAGCCTCAGAGGCCTCGAGGCGACGCTGGCTTTGAGGTTAGAGATGGTTGCCAGTTCGAGTCCCGGACCAGCAGCGAGCGGGGAATAAAACCCCCGGACAGCCAATAGCACAGGGCATGAAATTAGCTTTTTGTTTCTGGGGGTATTTTTGGCCCTTTGATCAGGATTTCGGGACACGCCGCTCCTTCTGAGCAATTTAACTGAACTATGAAATAATAACGGGGAGCCCCCAGGTCCTTAAAGTGATTTTCTTACCAAATATTCATCCCTTAGCATCGAAAACTCAACTGCTTTAAGCTTAAAGATGGGTGCTGACAGTAGGTAGTTCAGATTCAAGTAGTGACCAGTTTTCACAGCTGAAGGAAAGTGTGTAAATGTCCAGAAGAAACTTGACAACCCACCATCCAACCTCAATTGCACTTCAGTATGTTTCAAACGATCTACAAAGCTGAAATAATATTTTTGGTAAATTTGGACAATATATTAAACCGGACATTCAGTTGTAGTTGGTCAAGCTTTACTTGTCTGGTAATTTTTTTAAAACTTTTTTGGCTGTATTAACTGATTTTTGGCCCCTGGGGTCCAACAGAAGAAGCTGTAAATACCAAGTACCTGTAGCTAACAGGTGCACACACAGCTACTTATATCCACATCCAGAGCGACATGACAATTCATGTGTTTGTGTCACCTGATTAATCTTAAGTCCAGTATTACCTCTTTTAGCTCTGTGTTTGGTCTCCACCAGCTCCACCAGGGAAATATCTGGCTCTTTAGCTGCTACTTCTGTACTATAAAAAGTTGTGTGTAGAGCTGCAGAGACATAACAGTTTTCTTTGGGTACGTCACTACGAGTGACATCTTTCACATCTAAAGGGCCAGGGTTATACTGGTAAAAAAGGACGTTTGAAAGAAGCAGCAACAGTAGCTGCTGCATTCCCAGAATATTAGGGAACATTTCCCTCCACCTGTCAGCAGTCTGAAACCATTCAGAATCTATTGGACAATGTGTAAAATGCTGCGTGAGTGTCAGCAGGTAAATCAGCCTGTCAGTCTAGGGTCTGTGCGGCTGCCAGGTCAGAGTGTGTTGCTGTGAATGTGAAGCAGGACAGCAGTAATGAAAAACGCTCCAGTGGTGCTCAATCAAGCCTGCAGGATAAAACAGAGGTTAACACAAACAACAGCGACCTGAAAGTCACAGTTTTCATCTGTTAAAGTGTTCAATCACAGGGACGAGCTGCAGCGATGACTCAGCACTGACTGCAGATTCGAGTGCTGTCAGAAAAACACACAACTGTGAGTTCAGCAAATAGAAATGATACAAATGCAGAACTAAAAACAACTGGATGAGTTGGAGTTATGTACAACTGAGGCAGTTTGAACAGTGTACAGCAGCAGTTTCTCTAACAGCCCCAAGATTTTTGCTCCTACGAAAAGTATGGAGTATATTGGGAAAATTTTAGTTTCTTCCGTTAAAAAATGAGACAATGCAATTTTTCGTGCATTTACAATTATTGTTTATTAAGAAGTATCAAGGCTTACAGGGGAGAGGGTTCTGGCTTCAGTAAGTTAATGGGAAGATGCACAAAATGAATACAAAAATAATTTTCAACTTCAGCTATGGAACTGCGACCTAAGTGCTAATATGCAAACATTCATTCATTCATTCATTTTCTACCGCTTATCCTCTAGTAGGGTCGCGGGGGGGGCTGGAGCCTATCCCAGCATCCTTTCAGGCGAGAGGCGGGGTACACCCTGGACAGGTCGCCAGTCCATCCCAGGGCAAACACACAGAGACAGACAACCATCCACTCTCACAGTCACACCTATGGTCACTTTAGAGTATTCAATCAGCCTAGTCCCCATTTGCATGTCTTTGGACTGTGGGAGGAAGCCGGAGTACCCGGAGAGAACCCACACAGGCACGGGGAGAACATGCAAACTCCACACAGAAAGACCCCGTGTCCGAGCCGGGACTCGAACCCGGAACCTTCTTGCTGTGAGGCGACAGCGCTAACCTATGCAAAGATATTAAATTACATGTATACATAAATTAAATGGTTAAAAACATAATATAAATATATTAGCAAAATAAAAACATAAAATGTACCAAAAATATAGATATGTACATACATTACATAAATGAGACATTGAAAATATTTACCAAAATAAATGTAATGTACTAGAAATTACAAACACATAATGCACAAAGTAAATGCAATATGTTAAAAACATATATAAATGTAAAATTATACATACAACACACAAAAAATTCACACAAAATATAGTGAAAACATCTCAAAAATAATTAAAAAAACATGTTAAAAACATCTACAATATACAGAATTAATGCATAAATATATATTTAAAAAAACATACTACAATACATTATTAAAAATATAAGCTGAACTACATATATGTATATACTTTACATAAAATACATAAAAACATATGTACAGTATATAGAATTAATGTTTTATCTACAGTATATATTTAATGTATGTCAGCTTATTTTCAATAATGTTTTACTTTTCATATTTTTATTTTATTTAGATATGTTTTTTCTGAACGTATTTATATATTAAAATCACACCACAATGTATTGATATAATGCATATTTTTAAAAACATGTTACAATACATAGATAAAAATATAACAAGTAAAACATTATCAAAATAATTGCTGAAATACATGCACTGTATTTCAGCATTCATTGCTCTGTATATAAAATACATATAAAATGTATCAACAATATATATAGTTAATGCATGAATGTATTTTTAAAAACATGCATGTATTGAAATACATACATAAAAGTATGATGAATAAAACATAAAAATATATATTCTGAAATACATGAAATATGCATTAAAACATATCTACAATGTATAAAACACGAGCATAAAGTCACATTTTCAACAAAGGTACATAAAAAGTACTTAATATATCTGCGAACATGAATTAAATAAATGTATGCATTTATGCAAAATACATTTAATATGAAAAAAATCATATGTTAATGTGAACCGCTTTACTGTTTTTTTAGTCATCAGGGTGCATTCAACTGTTTCAATCCAGAGGTGGAGCGACTTTTACACCTCAGACCAACAACCAGTTCTTATTTTCAAAAATCTGGATGCACAAAAGCAGCATTTGTGTATCAAATTATTGATTGCAGCAGTATTGATCTGTCTATTTTTCCTGAGCTGTGTGTGTGTGTGTGTGATTGTTGAGCTGCTGTTGGACGCACTGATGATGAGTCATTGTATCTGAGAGGCTTTGATGTTGTTTCTGGACCTGATGAGGTGAACGCTGCCAAACAATAAACTCTCTTTCATCTCTTCTCTCCTCCATCCATCCCTCCTTTCTCCTCCTCCTGTTCTCATCCCTCCATCCTTTTGTCAGCCCCCCTGCCCCCCACCCCACGCCTCCCCTTCCTCCTCTTCTCTCTCTCAAAACCAATCATAGTTTCTTCTCCTTCCTTTCTTCTCCTCCTCTCTTCTCAGATCTCACCTCCTCCGTCTCCTCCCCATCACCTTCCTCTCTCCTTCATCATCCTGTTTCCTCACCTGTGAACCACTTCTTTCTCATTAAGTCCAATCCTCGTCTCTGTCTCTTCCTTCCCTTCTTCCTCCTCCTCACCTTCCTCTCACCTCTTCTCCCTGTTTTTCCTCCTTCTCTCCTCCTCCACTCCTTCTTCTCCTTCCCTTAAGCTAAAGACAAACAACAAATATGATTGATACTGCCATCAGTAAATTTCATGTCCATGTTTTCTCTTTTAACTAATCATTATTAATGTGTATTAGAATAGTTTAATAGGTTTAGGTTATTATACTCAATATATTATTTAATTCATTATTTATTAGATATTCATTGACATTTTTCATTGATTATATTTTGGGAAGTGACCTCTGATATGATTCTAATTTGAGTTTTCAAAAGTCCAAAAGTCTGAGTCCACTTTCTCATTGATGTGAAATATACATGTATATATTGCAGCCTTATTGCAAATTTAAAAAAAAAAAAAAATTTGTACCTCGTCTATCTGCACTTAATACCACATGATGACAAAGTGAAAACTGCTAATTTATGAAAGAGGAAAAACAAACTGTGGAGATGGAAGACACTTGAGGACAAATATGTAGACGTAGGCCTATGTGATCACATGACATCTGCCACTTGAAAAGGTGAAATAACCCTTTTCTTTTTCTTCCAGGTGTTCGTCGTCTTCCAGAGATGGACCAGCGTGCCGGGGCGAACGTCCACTACACCCTGCTGATCGCCTGCGTGCTAGTGGCTTTCTTCCTGGGCGCAATCCTGTCGGGCTTCCTGGTGTCGTGTTACTGCAGCCGCAGCGCCGCTCACCGGGCGAGAAGGCTGGGAAAAGACCCCGAGGCGTCGCTGCCTCACGCTCTGTCGCTGCGATCCCTCGCCAAGCTCAACGGACTGCTGGACGGGCAGCCCAAGGTGGGACAGGGACGGTGGATAAACTGGTCTCTGATGGGTTCATGGAGAGGCTGAAAATACAGGCTGGACTAAATTTATATTTTTTTTTTATTTTTACAGACAATTAAAAATTAATAGATATCCACAACAAACATCTTTCAGCAACCATGTCTTCATCTTGCATTGATTCTTTGCAGGTTGTTACCTACAAATCACCTGCAGTTTGCAGTAGACTAACAGTTCCTAAATGCTCTTTAATTCATTTACTTTCCTATGAAAGTGACTTTGGATAGATAAACAGATATAAAGGTAAATTGTACCATTAGAGCAGCACATAAAACTCAACAAATGAGGAAGTTAGAAACAAAATACAGTCACAAAAATACAAATTATCAAGAGAATAGAAAGTAAAAGTAGGACCTTCATCTGTTATAATAATGTGCGTGTTCTTTATTGAACAGGGCAGAACAGGAATATCAGCAGATAAAAGACTGCAAACATAATAAAGAAACAGCAGCTACAGATAAATAGGCTACTATAAAATGATATTTGAATAGATATAGAAGAAAAACATAAAATGTACTTCAGTGTCTTCCAGTTTCAAAGCAGTGATATATGTGATTGATCTGTGTAGAGGATGTTTATCTAACAAACAAAGAAGTTTCGGTTAGTCATCAATTGTTCTGTTGTTGGTATGAGCAACAAAACTTTTTCTAACTGTGTCACAAAAGCAACAGAAACTAACAAAGAAACATCTGCCCCACATTGTTTTTGCATGTGGCAGCAGTTAAACAAGTCTTATATTAATTCTACCACATTTCGATTTACAAAATAAGGAGAAAGAAATATATTTTTATATTCATAAAGGTCATTCTTACTTTTCATTTTTTACTTTTTTGGCAGCACTGAATGTTACATGAACTTTTCAAATGTGATTTTTATGATATATAAAATAATGAAAAAAAAAATAGTGACTATTAAGTAATTCTTACATGATGACTTTTTTGGAACACATTCCTTTTTATTAAGTACAATTTTATTTAAGATCTAAAATTGCCACTAATATTATACTATATAGATTACTGATTCATAAACCTGTTTTATTAATATAAAATGTGTAGCTTGTTCCAGATAAGATGGTAGAAGATAAGATCAGTGTGCCGTCTTGTTATGTGTCATTAAATGTATAGATTCATTCTGGTTGATGCAGCGGAAGCTGCACATTCCACAGTAAGAAAACAAACACATAGCATCTGTTTTACACACAGTTGCAGCAGGTTTAGCAGCTTTTACTACCGAGAGGCAGTGACATAATCAGCTGAATTTTGAGCAGCAGTGTTAATATTCATCCTCACCCCCCCTCCTCACCCCAGGTGGAGACATAATAAGGTAATAGCTTCACTTCAGCCTTTTATTCAGTCATCACAATTCACTGTTTCATTATGAACTCCAAGTGTCCTTGAGTAGGAAACTGAATCTCTGAGCTTCCTGTTGACCCCTGACCTTTCCGCTGAAATGTATATTTGTGAGTCCCTCGTTGCACTGTGTGGAACATGATAACTGAAATCAGTGAAGATGTCTTTCCTCACTTCTCAGTTCATTTAGTTCTTTTAAGAAAAGACAATAACAAATCATATGTCCAGTATTTACTCCTTCTCTTCTATCCTGAGTGTATCATCAGCTCTCTGATTCCTCTTCTTCTCTTGTCCTACTCCAGGAAGACAAACTGGACGTGTCCACTCCAAAGATGTACAGCTCCTTTATCCCCAACGGCAGAGCCGAGCCTCATCTCCACACCCCCGGACATCAGGGCCTGCCGCTGGGAGACCCTGACCTCAGCCTCTCCCAGGTATGACAGCTGATCGTGGTGGGCAGCCTGGTTTGTGTCATGATCAAATACTGTTAATATTTCACCCTGTAAAAAAATCAATATGTTTCTATATCAGAGACTAAATGATTTCTCTTCTTGTCTTTCTTTCTGAGAGATAAGAAGATGAAGACGTCATGTCTGTGTTAAGGACTCGGGACATGGTTAGCCTAGCTTAGCATAAAAACCGAAAGCAAGGGGAACCTGCATGTTGTACGTGTATCTTTCAACTTTGGACAGAGCCGGGCTTGGTGTTTCCCACTGCTTTCAGTCTTTGTGCTAAGCTAAAACTAACCACACAAACATTAACTCAGGAAGAAAATGAATTGATGTTGAACTGTTCCTTGATAGTCGATACAGACTGAGGAGGAGTTTAGTTTGAAGGGTGTAGCTAGCAATTAGCTAGCTAGCCAATAGTCTGACCTACTCAAGGCAACACTGTGAAAGGAATATGAGGTCTGACAATGAAAGTAAAAGACGTTATTTATCTGTTCTGTTAATTACTGAAATGATTAGTCGGTATATTGAGTGACAGAAAATGTATCCATGTACCCTGCTTAATTAGTACCAACATCTTGCATGTGAGGGTTTGTTGTTTTTCCCTGTTTGTACATTAGGAGATGTTGTGTCAAGCTCTTATTTAGTGCCATCATCTGAAGTTGATAAATGAATCACAATGATCAAAGGGGATTGTATATGTATACTAACTGAAACAATGTGCAGCTTTCCTCGTGGGTAAAAGATCATTCATGTTTCCTGTAACACTTCTATTCTGAGCACGAAATGTTGGCGATGACTACTTCTTTAAACTGACATCATGAAAACCATGGGTCTAACCTCTGTTTAGTCCCTGTCACAGGGTGATGGAGAGCTGTCCGGCCTGCCCACACCTGACTCCACCCCGGAATTGCCCATCAAGAACATGAAGGCCCTGCGACACCATCAGTACGAGAAGAACCAGAACTGCAACAATGCCAAGGACAGCAACCCGAAATCTGGGCCCAGCTGTTCTGGATCCAGTCTGGGTTTCATGGCCGTCGTTGGGAACTCTTTGACCCAGCAGGTGTTTCCCTACTCTCATCACCAGGGCAACAGTCTGAGCAACGGAGCGGCCCATGGAGCGGGGGCTTCTTCGACTTCGCTGCACCTCCCCGAGGAGAGGAAGATCTCGAATGACGAGCGAGCAGCAGCAGCAGTAGGTGGAGGCGCAGGAGGCGGGGGAGTACCCCATCATCACCACTCCCAGCAGTCTCTCCCCCAGACGGTGGTGGATGTGTCGGCGCTGGACGAGCTGCTCAAACACATCCACGAGGTCAGCGCGTCGGGAACTGGAGGCATCAAGGTTCTCACTTCCACCTCCTCGTCTGCACTGTTTCCCGGGCCATCCTCGTCCGCCTCTGGAGGGCATCATCATCATCACCATCATCATCACAGCCACCACAGCCAGACGCGCACCCACCACTACAACCACAGCCATCACCACAGCAACCACCACAACAACAACAGCAGCAGCAGTGGTGGCGCCGGCGGAGGTGGTCACCATCACCAGCAGCAAATCCCCGAGACTGAATCGGCTTCGTACTACAGCACCTCCACACTGCCGAGGGACGGCCTCCCCAAACGTCTGGACCCACCTCCTCAAAGCTCCACCTCATCCTTCGCCACCTCCTCTTCTTCCTCCTCCTCATCCTCCAACAATCCCACCTCCTCCACCTCCATCCCTTCCTCCTCCTCTTCCTCCTCCTCGACTCCGCTCCAGCAGCAGGTGATTCCAGAGAGACCCGGAGGAAGCAGTGTCTCTGTGACACGCCACCACTCCCAGCGCCACTCCCTAATAAAGATGGGCAGCGGGGGTGGTGCCGTGCCTCGCCATCACAGCTTCAACCAACGGGGGCCTCAGCATGCACACTTTCTAGCCAGGATGAACACCAATAGCAGCAGCAACGGACCCCCAGGTGCGAATGGGGAAGCTAATGCAAACGCCAGTACCAACGGTGAGAGTCAGCGGCCGTCGATCGCCAGTGCCTGCCTGACACGGCAGCACAGTTACAGCGAAGGGCCACATGTGCAGCGGGCGGCAATCGTCCGGAGAACAGCTTCGCTCAAACCCCAAGTCCCGCCAAAACCCTTGTTCCTGCCAAACACAGCAACATCACCGGTAGCAGAGGCAGGAAAGTACAACTACTGAGACAATGGGAGGAGGTGACGCCACTGCACCGTGGCTGCTGCAGTCCTCACTGAGTGAAGCACCCCAATATGTCTGCAGGGCCTGTGAGAAATGACAAAATGAGAGCATTGATGGGACGGAAAGACATGGAAGAGACCTCAGAACTTTTTTGTCCCCATCACTCCTCATTATGACCCTTCAGTTGTGGTTATTTTCCCGCCGCTGAGAGGACGACGGATGCCGCCCCCCCCACCCCCCCTGAGTCACGACCGCTGCATTGTAGCTGCTCCGCTCACAGAGCGCAGCCCTGAACGGAGCCGCACGGACTGACACTCCGAGGATCGACAAATAAACAGGATCTCTGACTCATTTCTTCGGGCGGTCAAGGCCGCTCGTGGCGACTTTCCCTTCACCACAGACTGCAGATCAAACCCGGCTCAGACGTGTCTGAGAAACATTCCAAAAGCAGGCCGAAAGATGTTAATGATTCAGAAGGGGTCCCCAAGGCTCGAGGTGGCCTGAAAAATTCTTGATTAATGCAGTTTTCTTATGAGTGCTTTGATCTAATGTCCCCGGTTGTTGCACTTTGGCACAGGGCCCAGATTTCATTTGCAAAGATTCATAAAAGCAGGGAATCGGACTGCTGCAGACCTGACGTGAACTGAATCTGGGACCGCTGGGACGTCTCTCCAGGAATAGGAATCAAACAATAGCATTTCTTTCCACAGGAGAAATCAAACAAAAATCATGTTTAAAAAAAAAAAAAGCCCAGGGGGTAATTCCTTTCTTTGCCTCTGAAGTCTGTTTGTCCCTCTGAATGTGGTCTGGAAAATTGAAATTAAAAGGAGGGTTTTACTCAACTTTTCTGTGAAAAAACTGAGTTCAAAAGGAGGAAACAAAACTGCAACGAGGTTTTTGTTTTCACGACTGAGACTTAAAGTTGACGGGACGTTGGAGAGATTTTTGTATACCGACACATCAGCAGCACTTGATGAGAAAGTGATGAGAAAAAGAGTAATGCTTCATGAGCTAAATATCAGATCAGCCACAGTGATTCAGATCAGAGCAGCGATCTCTTTCCACCCTGACAGTACATACATACCAGATGAATGTCCTTTTTTATACCATATTGGTATCTGAAAAACAAACACAGCATTAATGGAGCCCAATAGGTGATTGAGGGGGAAATTTCTGATGAATTATTTCCTCAAATGACTCATTCATGCACTCATTGCTCTTAATACGGCTTCAATTCAGTCATTTGTATGTTCAAATGACTTAATTGATTCTCTTGAATTAATAATTGCCCGCAAATGACTTAATTTGCCCCCTCCACAACCTCAAGTGCTGAATTTTAGGAACTGGCTGACATCTGCAGGATCGATACATGTCGATGTTTAAAAGGATGTGAAAGATAAAATCAAACTGTATGAAATGCAAGAGCTCTGCAGGCTATTGATTAAGTTATTTGACGGAATTGTTTATAAAAAAAATTCTCTCTCGTTACCTGCTGAGCTCCGTAGTTTTGAGTGGTACAACAGCTGTACCTGCCCTAACTGAAACAACAGCTCACAGAATGAAAAGTGTAATAAAATCTTTTTTTTTTTCTTTTCAATGTCACTTTTAAGGTCACTCAAATTACTACAAGACTCACACTTACCTCTGTTACAGTGGTTTCAACAGTGGGTACAAGGGTCGGTCGAGGGTCATTCATTTTACTGGAGATTTTGCCAAATGAAATAATTTCTTTAATCACAATTTTATATTGTGTTTCTAAACGTGTCAGAAAGAAAAGAATAACAATAAACCGAAAAACTGATTGATTAATTGAGGAAATCACTGGCAGATTAATTAGTAATGAAAATAAGAATTTCTTGCAGCCCTAGTCGAGACATTTCAATCTGGACCAACGGACAATACCTATGGCTAAAAAGACTAGTTGATGGCGTGGTTGAAAACCATTTTGGAACCACTGCTTGGGTAGCATCTAGCTGAGCAGATAGTTTTGGTTTCAGCGGATCAGGTTTTGAAACTTTTGTGTCTCAGATTCAGTGGAGGTAAACAGATTTTGTGACATTTAAAAAATTTACACTGGGGGGGACTATTTCTTCAGCCTTCTGTGGATTATTTTATGGGGACAGGATCCGCGTTTCCATTAACTGGCGTAACGCAATTTGAAGTTTCAAACTAAAAAATCATGGAAACACGTGAATTTTGAACAACAAAAAAAATTCTAAGCTCACAGGTGGTTTTTCAGACTATTCGACAAACAATATTTTGCAAAAGTGTAATGGAAATACTTTTTCCGCATTTAAAGCACATGACATGAGTTGACACATGGCATCCAAAGACTATCATCTCTCAAAAATCCCTGGTACATGGCCACTGCCAGATAAAGAGATTTGCCTTCCTGTCATCACGTGCACCAGATGCCCTCATCACCTTTAATTAAATCCTACAACAGCTACTGCCATGGATGCAATCGTTCCCAACAATTCGCAGATGCTGGAAATCCATCGTCACGTTTAATTGGAATGATTTTGCGAGACAAGAAAACCCAGCTTTGTTCACATAACATCACTCAATGGAAACACAGAGCATTTGCAAACGTGTTTTGTTGATTTTTCCAAAAAAAAAAAAAAAAAAAAAATCACACAAAACTGCGATGGAAACGTGGCTACTGTCTCTGAAAATCCAGTGGACAAATAAAACCCGAGCTATCTGCATATATAGATGCCGCAAGAGGAGAGTAAGAACATACATGAGTATTTCTGTGAATGTTTTCATTCACTTTGACAGACTCTCTGGTTGAACTCCAGTCTGCTGCTGACTACAGTCTGTGGGAGTGTTTCATCACAGATGGTCTAAAAATACTGACTGTGAGGAGAATCTGCCGTTTCCTGTTTTACTTTTACCTCGCAGTGTTTATCAGTGGTCAGGAACACTTTTTCATTCTGTGGCTGTTTCCTATGTTTGGGCTCTGGTCAAATGGTAACAGTATAATACATAAGGCAACATTTCGAGGCAAGGGAAACGAGCAACACTGCCTGCAACAGCAATAAAAGTTGGTGACTTTTTGGGACATAATCCCTGTAAATAAAATACTGAGCTGCATGGAACTAAAGCACTGATGGTGAATTCAAACAGCTGACAGAGTTGACCGTCCGTGTTGCCTCAACATGTTGCCGTGCAGGTTTGAAAATTTTTGGAAAACTCTCGGCCAAGAATAATTTTTAAAGACGCACCCCGGTGGTTCTGCACGTTTTAACCCGTTATCTGCATACATGACATTATATTACTGTAGACCATGTTCCAAGAGCTGATTACTCCCAGATTTTAGAGATCAGTAAGTGTTAATGTCTGTATATGCTCAGGTACCAGGAAGCACCTGAACTGTGTCACATGTCAGGAAGAAACAGTGGAACAGTTTAAAGACACGAAAACAATCCTCAGTGACTGAGTCGTGACAGAAAGGAAAAGTACTCACCTTTTCTTTTACTGCTGAAACTGTGTTATTGTCGTGTAAAGCAGCTGAGTGGTGCGTTCAGGGAGACTCCGATATTTGACACTTTATAAAATCCTGTAAAAAAAAAGAAAAATGTATTAATTAAATATATCAACATAAAATCAATCAAAACCAGAACACAAACAATAGGCAAACATGGACATTATAAAATTTAAGCATTTACATATATATATATATATATATATATATATATATATGTACTCAAACTGTAAGTGTTCAAACTTCCTTGATGCATCGACTGGAGGAGTTTTGAGATAAAGTCCCTGCAGGTGGCTGCACATACCCATAATAGGGTTTTAGGTCTACAGGTGCAAAACTGTTGAAGAAGAATAACACTAACAAAAAAAAACTGCAACACACAAGTAGAGCTGATAGCATACAGTTATGGTCTGGGACATTTCAGCGAAAAATATCATTTTTTGTGCATGTTGTAACATGACTGCACAATGCATTGAATTATTTAATTCAAGCCTTTTTTTTGCATGATTCTTAACATGTCTAAATCGTGGAAACTGAGTTGTTACAACCTCCACAGAAAATCCTTCTTTTCAGTCAAAAAGTAAGACACAAGTAGCTCAACTGTTTTGCAAGTTCAAATTGTTAACTGTCCCTCAACCTTTATCTTTGGACAATACAGCCTGTCTGAATGATGAGGTCCACTTAAGCTTTTTCCAAGGCTTTCTTCCTCATGGTCTTCCTCTGCGAATGGAGTTTGCTCAGTTGTCATCCCCTAAATAGTAGCCTGCAATACTGAACATGGGGCAGGGAATAACAGGTGATTATACTATGTGGGTGGATCATAACCATTGACTCCGATCTCCATCTGCTGAATTGCGGTTGAAAGTCCTGGAAAAGTTAGAAAGTAGACAATGAGTATTTCTCTGTAAAAGCTGTTTCGAAGTCGAGACTGAACTTCCACTCTGAAGAGTTTCTTTAATTACAGACTGTAACATGCAACACAGCAGTATGATCAGTGACTCCATGAAATCCAGAGGGGAACTGAAGCCTTCTGAAGTATTAAAACAGAAAAGTGACTCGCAGGTGATGAGGCACTTGATGTCTGTTACTAAACAAACTTTTTTTCAGCCAGCTTTTGAGTGAGTTTGGTTCCCAGCTGCCGGTGAACCAGATAAACATCCAGCAGCCGGTTTTAGTTTTATCTGACTCGCTCAGCTGTGCTGGACACACACTCCCGGCACAGATTAAGCAATAACGAAGCTGCGGTGATGTTGCAGCAGTGTTAGTGAAGTATCCCCGTCTGCTGTGGGCAGGGTGAGCAGGCTCTGCACCAAATGATGCAACTTTAACTTCGCCAGCTCCAAACGGTCGAGTGAGAGAAAGTAAAATCTGGGATGTAAAGCACCTGCTGAAGGAGTCGTGCTGTAAAAGTCGCGTTTCCAAACTAGACTGAGGGATCTCTTTGTTCAGATTTAATAAAAAGGCGACAAAGCAGCAGTTTCATATTGATTTATACTTCTTGTAAAGGGGGAATTTGTGACACGGTCGGTGTTTGAAGAGATTACATCATCCTCTTTCATCCTCGACCCGGATCTCTCAGCTGACTGCAAGTGTTTGATAGTTATCAGAGATTAGTGTTGTTCTGGTCACTGGGTAGAAGCTGCCTGCATGAATCAAAGTCTAAATTAACGGGCTGTGTTCACATGAGAACAGTGAATCTGATCCTCAACTCTTGGTGGCAGATCTGATAGTTTCTACAGAGGAAGAAATAACATTTTTAAAAGGTTGGATTACAATGTGATGGTCAGTTCTGTGCCACAGAAGAGGTTCTGAGTCTGGTCTTCTTGTGCGCTTTAAACCGGTGTACTGGTTTCGAAACATGTACCCCATTTAATACAGATTGCAAATACTTAGCATCACTTCTGACCAATGTTTCAAACCCCAAGCACTTTGTAGATTAATTTCCTTCCATTCTTCTCTATGGAAATCAACATGCAGAGACTCTGAGACAGAACTTACATGTCTGTGTGTGGTTATGCAGTTCCAAGCAATAACCATCTTGTCTTTGTTGGTGCATTCAAGAACCCTCTGATTTCTGAGACGTCACAGTCAGCTGGTGAAATATGCTGCTGGATTTTTAAATCTAGGAGACAAACATTAAATATACATGGATTTCAGGGTAAATTGATTGGTTAATGAAAATTAAATAGTTTCTGTTGGGCAGTCTTCGCAGCAACACCAACATGATGAGTTTTCGGTCTTTTCTTGTAAACTGCATCACCCCAAAAGGACAAGTGATATATATAACTTACAAAGTGTACTGTCTGTGCAGAAGGAAGGAAGGAAGGAAGAATTTGGCTTTCCTTCTGGTTGTGAGATGTGGTTGAAAGCTCAGGAAAAAGCCAGCAATTGGAGCTTAAACTGAGATTAGTACTGAAACTATGAGTCAAGTCATTAAATGGTCTTCTGACAGAATATTAACTGTAAGCAATTTTGATAATTGGTTAATCATCTGAGTTATTTTTAAGCAAAAAACAACTAAATACTGTAAACTGAATATCTTTGTTTTTCATACAAAAAAAGCATTTAAATGCCACATTGGAAACTGTGATGGGCATTTTTCACTGGCTAAATGAAAAAATGAAGAAAAAAAACAACAAACAGATTAATGGAAAATGAAAACAATCATTGGTTGCAGCCCTTATTTAGATAATTTTGTTTAAAAATAATTAATTAACGTACACGATCAACTCGAGTCTGAAAACTGTCACAGAACAAATTGGCATCGATTGTCTCCTCAAATCTGTAATTTTTGAATTTCAAAATTTAAAGGAGCTATTTGTAAGTTTGGCTATTGCTGCATTTTCCATGTTAGCATTAGAAACATTGTGAGTTTGGCATCAATCTTCATTCATTTACTCACCACCAGCTGTCTCCAGAGGTGGAAAGCAACTCCAGTGTTAACTCTTGTTTCTATCACGTCTTTTCCTCTACTGAAGTTAGCATGCTATCTAGCTAGCCCCGGCCCATCCTGTGACTTTCTCTGACATGAAGAAGTAATGCTGCTCAGAGGACGTATTAGAACCTCTTGTCTTGTAAATGCAACGATGGCTGAAGCTCTTGTCAAGCAACAATCACTACCACCCACTTGCGGCAAGACACTACCTTCAGCAGCAGGAAGAACTTACAAATAGCTCCATTAACATTTGGCTTCTTTCAATGTATGAAAACAAGTGTTTTGTGGGGAAAAAAAGGTTCTTATATTTCCAAGTATCACTTTGGTATCAATGCAGAAACTCAAGCACCGATACCCAATCCAAGAAAATGGTCAGTGGCAATATAAAGACAAGGCAACTTGTGGCTAACTGGCTCTAAAAACAAAACAATGAACACATACCTGTATGGTCCTTTAAATTGGCCTTTCAGCAGTATTATTACCTTCACACTGAACAGGCTGAAGATTTAGACAGCCAGTCTCGTTTCCCAGAAGCTACAATGAGTTGAGGGTACAACAGAAGTATCAGCTCAGTATTTTTCACTCCACTGTACACAGAGAAGAGGTCATCTTTTATAAATGCTTTCACACTGAAATCCAAGTGTGGTCTGGTCCAGTAAAGAACAGAAATCAGATTTTGAGAGAGAACACTAAGAGGTCTGCATTCATAGACACAACACAGACAAAATGAGGAACAGGAATCTCCATCTGTAGTGAATAAAAACTGTTGAAAGGGTTTTGAAACTTAATTAAAAGAAGAGGCTGCTCATCTATGATCTGACTAACTCGTCAATGGTCCTTTAGGAATGTTTTCACTGGGTGCTACTACGGGGACGCTGCAGAAAATAAACACTACGGATCATTTTATTAAAGGGTTTTTGTATGAGGATGCACTTGTAACCTTGAAAATAAATTTGTTTATTAATTTCGTGGTTCTCAGTTCCCATCCTCTAAATGTGCTCTCTGTGAGGGGGAACAGAGACGCTGTCATCACTGATAGACTCACAGCGCCACCCGCTGGGCCACACCAGAATGACAATGTAATAATGTCAAAAGATATTATGTTTACCTTACTGCTATTAATTAACAATGTGGATGATGGTGTAAATAAAGGCTACTGTGGAATATTACTCAGAGTGGAGCGGGTCTTATTTCTGTGAATTTTTGAATTTATGAGTGATAAACAGGAAACAGAGTTGCAACAGACAAAGTATAAACAGAGTCGTACTCACGCAGCTCCAGAAGTTCCTGAGGATGTTTCAGGAGTCCATAGTCCTTGGCAGTGCTCCAGCAGATGTTGGGCCTTCAAGGAGTCAACAGGATCATGAAGAAATTTAGGGAGATTTTAATAGGGAACCAAAGGTCTTGAGGTAGTTCTAGGGTGCCCATGGGTTACATGAGTCCTTTATTCCTTAACAAAAACCTATTGCCACTTCAGTTGGTCTTTAGGTGGGTTTGTGAGTTCTTGAGATGGTTTTAGCGGTTTATAGGTGTCCCAAGGGTATCTGGGACAGCTTTGGCTCAGGAGGTAGAGCAGGTTGTCCACTAATTAGAAGGTTGGTGGTTCGATCCTGGCTCCTCCTGTCTGCGTGTCAAAGTGTCGTTGAGCAACATACTGAACCCCACTTTGCCCATAATGGCTGTTTCATCAGTGTGTGACTGTGATGTTGAATGTGTGAGTAAATGGGTGAATGTGGCAAGTATTGTAAAGCGCTTTCAGTGGTCAGTAAAACTAGAAAAGCACTATATAAGTGCAAGTCCATTTCCCATTTACATCTGAATAAATTTCAGGGGACAAGTAGTAATTGAAGGGTATTCAAATGTCCTTGAGAAAGTTCTGTGGTTCCCTAAATGTGTTTGAATGCCCTAGTTTTCAGGGGTCTTGAGAGGGACTAAGTTCTCAATAAGGGGTTTTCTCAGAACCCCTTATAGTGATGGAAAATTTGAAGGTATTTCAGGAGACCCTGTAGGGTGTCCCAACAGAGACAGAGGAGTATCAGGAGACCAGAAGTTCCTAAAGGCTATCTAGAGGTCCTTGAAAGGTTTGGGGTCTCCTGAACGTGTTCTAAGAAAAGGACTTTTGAAGGAGAGCTCAAGGGTTCTGGGGTTTCATGAGTTTTAGAAGGAGTTACAGGAGTCCTTGAGTTGTTACTGGGCTCAGGGCCCCAGAAGAGAACCTTGAGGAAGTTCCAGGTATAGTACACAATACACAGTACACTACACAATATAGCATGGTTTCTTTATCAACTGTAATTCTGTAATTGTTTCTCTGCAGAGCTGCTGCACACCTGTTTATTTTTTATAAAGAGAACCGGCAGTGTTTTATAAAAAGCTAAATTACTTAATAAGATACTGAAAGAAAATATATTAAACTATATTGTGGAATTTGAACCCCCTCATCTCATGTGGGTTTACAAAGAAGCTGTTTTTGAATAAAGTGTTGTGCTGCCATCTGCTGGTGAAAAAGAAGCAGGTCAGTAAGTTCACTGCACTTATTCAGTATTCATAGATTTCCCTTTTACAGACAATGTGACAGCATCAATGTCCCCAGAATAGAAGAAACACAAATAGAAAATTTTTAATTTCACACATTATTCCAAACATGTTTACCTGTGTCGTTTTCATATTCAGAGACACAAACATTTTACAAAATTATATTAAGATCCTGATCTTATGTGCGTTTGGGATTGTCACAGAGTGGGCAATTCAACCCTGAGGTAGAAAAGTGTTCAGATGTCATTCAAATTCAATTTTGATAAGTTCTGCAGTTGTGTTGTTTACATTTTTTATAATACATTTTTAAATAATAAAAATTGTAAACAACAGTTTACAGTTAAAATGTCAAAATCCTAATCTCATTAGAAGAAATATAAAAACGATGATGATTTTTGTTTTGCTGGGTCTCTGACCAAACTAGCATGTTCTCTTACATCTGGAGGGTATGATGTGTAGGCTGGGGCTACAAATTAAACTGAATAAATTAACAATTAATCAACTGACACAATAATTGGCAGATTTAATAAAATATGGAAATAATTGTGCAGCCCTACAGTTTGTCACTTACAGACACTCCGGGTATCACAGATGGCTTTGGCTTTTGCAGTGATGATATATTTTGTGGAAAGGCACATTGACGGCAGTAGAAACAGAAACAAAACTGTTTCCTCAGGTGAAACGTTATTGGTCTAATGGAGCCTTTTATTTTTTAATCATGGTAAAATAAAACAGTTTAAACATGAAAATTTGTTTTTTATCATGTGCATTTATTACTTAAGTAAACTGTCGTACAGTCTTGTTAAAGCAACACTGATTGACTGTTGACTGCTTGGGAAGCCAGGTTTATTTGAGTTGACATCCTGAACTGGTTTTCAAATGTTCCTGACATCCTGAATACAAACTCCAGACTTTTATGTTTCCATGTTCTGATTTAAACAAAACCATGATATTTGTGCTACAGACCTCTGCACTGCCTCGCTACCAGTAACAAAAAATTAAAAAATGTATTGGTCACAAGTCAAACACTGGTGAATCTACAGTGACAGCAAACTGCTCCTGTGTCAACATCAGTTTGATGCATCTAAAAAACTGCAACATCACTGTTTCCTCCAATGCATAAATGTCTGTTAGAATATATTTAAGATATAAAAATACTGTATATGTCTCTTCTTGTCTTGTCCAGGTCCATGTTCACATTAATGAGGATAAATATGAAAAATCCACTCACATGTCCAAAGTTTCCCTCCATTCATCTGTCCACATTGAAATGTTGATGCAAGAAAACTTATTTAAAATTCTGTGATTCCTCTTCTTTTGTTTAATGGCAGAATCCTTTTTTAAAAAAAAAAAATGTCAGTACTGCTCAGTACAGCTGATATACCATCTTATTTTTCTTTATATATTAATGTCATTACTGGCCTTCAAAATCCAGTATGGGTCGGGCTTCAGTGCCTACATCCAGTTAAAGAGTGGTAATCAGGCTCTTACATTTATATATAAGAACCATGTGATCAAAGTGAATTTCCATATTTCAGTCTTTGTGCTTTAGTCGTGAACTTGCACAGAGTTTTACACATCTGGCTCGCTGACACGAACACGGCCGATGACACTCTACTGATCTAATTCAGCTTTTTTAAATTTATATTGTTTAATTTTCATTTCATTTCTGTGTCTGTCTTTGAATTTCCCGGGGCTCTGTTGTAAATGCGTCTGCTCACTCACATGTTCTCCATTGCATTGGGGTGTTTTGTTGATGACCTGACATTGGGCGAGGGCGAGGTACACCCTGGACAGACAGACAAACAAACAACCATTCATGCTCACATTCACAACTACAGGCGATTTAGAGTCATCAAGTAACCTGCATGTCTTTGGACTAAGGGAGGAAGCCAGAGTACCTGGAGGATACCGCCACAGGTACTTGTTTGAACCCAGAACCTTCTTGCTGTGCGGCGACAGCTCTAACCACTGTACCTCCCTGCCGCCCATATATTCATAATTTGTCCCAGTTTATAGCGGTGCAGTCATCTGTTATATGTTATTAACTCAAAGCATTATGTATCCACATGAAAATAAAGGGTCAGAGTCTGAGGTGACTCTGTGAAAGCAGATATTCCTCTATTCCTGAAAAACCTGATCATCATAAATTAGTGTTTCCCCGCCCACTCTACAACACAAGACTGGTGTGCTGATATTTCTTCTCCTCGGGAGAGATTTTTTAAAATGTTTCTTGTCATGGGATGAAACAGCAGCTTAGTGTGCAGAGGGGGACAAAAATGGAGACAAATAAAAGAAACATTTTCAAACGCACCCACGTCAGCATTGACATGTCCTGGCTGTGCTTTTTACCACTTCTTATAACGGAGGTTTGACATCTTTTACTGTGCTCCGTCAGATATTAGTGTCTCTGCTGTGCCTCAGCTCTGCTGTGTTTTCTGTCCTGTGTGTGTGCGAATGTGCCGTTTGTAATTCGAGTTGTCGCTGAATCTGCGGCCGCACTCATCGCAGCAGTACGGCTTCTCGCCCGTGTGGATCCTCAAGTGTTTCTGATAACCGTCAAACCGCGTCAGTCTCTTGCCGCAAATGTCACACGTGTACGACTTGTCGACTTTGGTCTCTACTTTCCTGTGCACCTGCACGTGTTTGGCCCAGTGGCCTCGCTGAGCGAACGCACGGCCGCAAATGGTGCAAATGTACGAGTCCACCACCTCGGACAGCGGAGCTTCCAGGTCGACACAGTCGAGCTGGCCGTTACCTGAAGCCAGCTCTGAAGTTTCAGGAGCGTCCTCATCGAGTTCAGAGCAGGTCTGCTGGACTGAGGTCCCCGGCTGGGGGTCAAGCTCTGAGTCCTCCAGGTCCTGGCTCCGGAAGTTTGAGAGCGAGGGGGTCACGTGGTCGTCATCCTGCTCGTTTCTCGCACCGCCGCTACGGAACAACATGAACTTGACGTCGTTCTGCTCCGTCGCCTGAAGCTCGTCCTCCTGCTGAGCCGGCCACAGCTCGTCCTCCTCCTCCTCTTTGATATGAGGAGACTTTGTTTCATTTAGGCCCAGAGTGGAGCTCCACTCCTGCTGTTCAGAGAGGGCTGGACAACAGACACCACGAGAGTCAAAACATGTTTTAAAAACTGTATTTTTTAAAATGTTTTTATTTTTTTTTACCGAGAAAGACTTTTCTAGAGAACAACACCAGGTCAAACCTAGTATCTGACTGTCATCCTGTTTCTCTGCTCATTGTTCAGGTTTTTTCCTTTCATTTGACATTGTCTGTATCTACCCAGCGATAGTGCGGTTCCTGGAGGACTACCCTTTGTGCCCTGTGAGCTTGTGATGGTAACAGGAGGTTTACAGGTGGTTACATGTAGTTAAAGGTGATTAACCGTTGGTTACCAGTGGTTTACAGGTAGTTAGAGGTGGTTAACAGGTGGTAACAGGTAATTAAAAGTGGTTTACAGGTTGCTACAGATAGTCGCTGGTGATTACAGGTGGTTTACAAGGGGTTACAGGTGGTTTATAGGTGGTAACAGGTGGTTTACAGCTAGTTATGGTGGCTTACGGGTTTAAAGGTGGTTACAGGTAGTTTACGGATGGTTACAGGTAGTTAAAGGTGGTTCACATGTGGCTACAGGTAGTTATTGGTGGTTACGGGTGATTAATGGTTGGTTAAAGGTAGTTACTGGTGGTTAGTAAAAGGAGGTTTACAGGTGGTTACAGATAGTTAAAGGTAGTTTACAGTTGCTTACAGGTGTTAACAGATGGTTAAAAGTGGTTTACAGATAGATAAAGGTGGTCAACAGGTGGTTACAGGTTTACAGGTGATTACAGACAGTTTACAGGTGGTTTATGGGTAATCATTAATAGCCACAAAACAGCGCAGAAGCAAGTGAAACGTTGGAAAAGTAGATAATTGTTGTTCAACTACTACTTTTTAGAAAAAATATCTAATTATAATTGAAGTTCATTACTTTTGCTTATGTATTCACGGTGTTTGAACAGACAGTAACTACTGTTATCACTGTGCAGATGAAGAGCTTCGTTCAGTGGCTCACTGATGTCTTTAACCGCGGTAACGAACGGCTCGGTGTCCGGTAAAAGTGTTTGACTGTCGTTTACTCTCCAGGTACTAAAACATTCACCAACCTGCGCTGCTGACCTGCAGAGATATCTGCGGCTTCCTAGAGAGGTCCAGCAGCCGGCGCTGGCGGTCGATCTCCAGCTTGGAGCGAGAGATCTCCTCCTCGTACTCGGCTATGGTCCTCCCAAACACCCCGAAGATCTCCTCTGCGGCCGCGGTGAGCCGCTGGTTAATCAGCACCCTCAGCATCTCGATTTTAGACATTGGGGCGGCGTGTAGACCGGCGGAGTGCGGAGAAAACACAGGAGTCTGCCCTCCGAGGCGTCGTTTGTTTACAAGCTACACTTCCGGGTTAATGTCTCTACGCATGCTCAGTGTGCATCTCACCGGTAGCCTTTGGGTGACACTTTTTATTTACAATCTACGGGTGAGATATGAGAATTTACTGCCACCTGGTGGAGCTCAAAACTAACATTTAAAGCCCCATGTTCCCATTCGTTATTGTATTACATTATTTATTATCATTTATTATAATTCTTTATAAATATATTTTCTGTTTTACATCTTATGTCTTTGAATTAATATCTACAATTTATAGTAGATCATCACTATGGCAATTAAATAAATGAAGAAGGTGCAGGTATAAAAGGCCTTTAATTATTAAATGAAGCGTGTACTGAGACTGTCATTTATGCTCTCTCTCTCCCTCTCTCTCTCTTGGAATTATGGATCAAAAAAAAAAAATTCTAACTATCTGAACCAACTCACACCAGAGCCAAACATTATGTTAGTTTCAATTGGTCTAGTTCACTTTTTTCAAACTTTTCAATTTTCATTCCTGTAAACCAAGGGCGTAGGTTTGCATATGGACAATAGGGACATGTCCCTACCAATATTTTGGGAGGACAGAACTGTCCCTACCAATATTTGGTGAACTTGTTTGCACTATGTTTGGAGTGAAGTCATATTAGATCATTACGATGTGCCGTCCAAGAGGGTATGTCTCCAAGACAACCATTTTGTGACTCTGTGATGATGTCTGGAAATAAAAACTAAACCTATAATGTCTTTGATAATAACAATGATCCACATCCTGTTGATTATTTCCCATGATTGTAAATCTGATTTATGATTTTTAAACCTTTCAGTCAGACTGACTCATCAAACATGAACTACTTCTCTCCTCTTTTCTTTCTCTCCTCTCTGCAGCAGAAACAGTCTGACATTAACTTTAACTGTTTTATCTGCATCTCATGTTCATAAGTTTGTTCATCATCAGACTATTTTCATCCACTTATTTAATCCTTATTCTGACTTTAATAGTGATTATATTCAGAAATATTTCTTTTTATTCTAGTTATGTGATCATAATGTTTACATTTCCCCTCGTTGAATATCACTTTTGGACGTAGTTATAACCGAACTTACTATAATTAACAACTACGGCTCTTTTACATCAACATGCTTGTAGCTGAACAGGTAAACCCAGGGTTAACTTAGCCAGTTTATAACCAGTTTCGTAGTACAGGTTATCAGGACGGTCAATATTAGGTTCAGTTAAGCCAGATAACTAAAAGTGCGGGTATGTTGAACTTGCTTCATGGCCTCAGGTTTCCCAGCACTCCGTTGACTCCACCCTGTTCATTCCACACACCTGCCGTTCAACCCACCTGCCTGTCATCACCAATCAAGCCTTCCTGAGTATATAACCCCAGATCTACTCACCATTCTTGGCCAGATTGATGTTTCAACTACGTTGGTAGGTACTTCAACTCAGCCCCTTTGAGGAGTTTTCTCGTTTTGCTTCAGTTGTGTTATTGTTACCTGTCGTAACTCAACTCTCCATTTGCCTCAGGTCAATTCTCACTCACCTAGTTGTTTCTGGTCTGCCATGTTCTCCATTCTAACACGCTATTCTCCGGTCTTCTGTTGTCATCCTCCTGCACTCTCTGCTCACCTCCACCTCCGGACCAACTGGACGTCTTGGACTTCGCCATTACCTTCATGACTGGATACCACCTTCCCTATAACAGACTCTCCTAGTGTTAATCTTTTGCACCACCTCTCAATGTTTGCAATAAACTCTGTTAAAACCCATTCAGTGAACCTCTGTCTGTTTCTGCACTTGGGTCCAGCAAATGACACATTTTTGGTCACAAATATTTTTATTCCTTACTATACTATGACCTTTTTATGCATTACTATACTAAGATGTTTTTATGCCTTACTATACTATGACTTTATTATGCCTTCCTATATCACGACTTGTTATATCTTACTATACTATGACTTTTTATGCTGTACCATGCAATAACATTTTTATGCCTTACTTTAGTATGTTTTTTTTTTTTATGACTTACTATATCATGACTATTTATGCCTTACTGTGCTATGACTTTTTATTACTTACTATGACTTTTTATACCTTACTATACTATGACTTTATTATGCCTTATGATACTATGACGTTTTTATTCCTTACAATACTATATTTTTATGCCTTACTATACTATGACTTTTTATGCTGTACCATACAATAACGTTTTTATGCCTTACTATAGTATGTTTTTTTTATGACTTACTATATCATGACTATTTATGCCTTACTATGCTATGACTTTTTAAGCCTCACTATACTATGACTTTTTTATTACCTACTATGACTTTTTATGCCTTACTATACTATGACATTTTTAACATCAGAATCAGACACACAGTCAGAATCAGAATTTAGAATCTGGTTTATTGCCAAGAAGGTTTTTTCAACAAACAAGGAATTTGCTTTGGTGTTTTGTTGCATATCAATAAACACAGTAAGAAGAAAAGAAATGTAAAAAAAGCTGAAACAGTGACATCAGTGACAGTTGGGGTCTTTAGCCTTTTGAATGAGGCCAACTGCAGTAGGAAGAAGCTGTTCTTGTGGCGGGAGGTTTTGGTGATGATGGACCACAGCCTCCTGCCAGAAGGGAGTGACTCAAATAGTTATGGGTGGGAGGGGTCAGCTACAATCTTTCCTGCTTGACTCAGTGTCCTGGAGGTGTCCAGGTCCTGGAGGGTTGGCAGATTGCAGCCAATCACCTTCTCAGTAAAGTGAATGATGTGCTGCAGTCTGCTCTTGTCCTTGGCAGTGGCAGCAGCGTACCAGGTGGTGATGGAGGAGGTGAGGATGGACTCGATAACGACAGTGTAGAAGTTCACCATCATGCATGCCTGTGCCTTTTTTTTATGCCATACCATACTATGACGTTTTATGCGTTACTATACTATGATTTTTTATACTTGCTATACTATTATGTTTTTATGCCTTACCACATGATGATTTAGTGCTGGGGCGGCTTGGTGCTGCAGTAGTTAGAACATTTGCATCACAGTGAGAAGGTTCCCTGCACTGAGTTTGCATGTTCTCCCTGTGCTTGCACAGGTTCTCTCCGAGTACTCCCCCTTCCTCCCACGGTCCGAAGACATGCACAATAATTGGCAACTTTAATGCCTTACTATACTATGATGTTTTTATACCATTACTGTATCATGGCGTTTTTTATGACTTACAATGACTTCTTTTATGCCTTTATGCAACATATGGATATATGAAGATATAAAACATATATGAAATACTCATAGTAAAATGCAATAAAACAGAGGGGTGGACCCTGCCACCCCTCTGTTTTATTACCATCAACCAAATATTGCATTGAAATCAAGTATTGCATTTTACTATGAGTATTTCATATATGTTTTGAATTTATATCTTCATATATCCATATGTTGCGTTCCTACCAATGTTGAGATTAAAACCTGCACCCTTGCAGTAAACAGAGTTGAAAAGTGCTTAAAAGTTGGGATCAAGTGTGTGTTTAAGCTTCTTGTTTTGATTTATCCTTTGATCAGACAGTGTCTGATTTAGGAATGAATAAAAGAATGAATGAACACGTTTCATGCAAAAAAATGCAGCTGGAAGTGCTTTACAACCAATAAATAAATAAACAGTTTTAAAATCATCAAAGGTTTGTGCATGTGCTTATAAAAAGGACATCTGACATTTGAAGATGTTGACTTCTTTTGTTAAATGGAAGAAATACATATTTGTATTCCTCTTGAGGTATCCACTACCTCAGGCACTACAATAAGGTAAGTTATATATAGTGGGGTGCATGTATTATTATTTTAATGAATCTACAACATTTTTAGTGCAACCCATCATCCGTGTTTAATTAAACTATAGCTATGCAGCCCTATTCATGATGTGACTATGTGAGTGTATTGACAAAATTATAAAGACAATGCATAAACAATCCAGACACTTTGAATATTGCTTTTATTGATAAGACTTGATGAGACTTTTATTGAAAAACAAAACATTAAACTGTATATAGAACTTGTCCGACACTTGAAGAACAGTTTTATTAGTTTTCCGTATCTGCTACTTGGTATACATTTCCAAATAGAAACAAACAACATACAACTAAATGAATACAGATGTAAGACTGTTTTCTTCTTTAAACACAGTTCATGAAGGATTTTTATTTATTATTTACTCCTTTTTGGTATCAAGATAATGTTTAGTTTAGGTATTTTCACAAATAAAACAAAAAAAGGATCATGCTGGTGAGATAAAAAAAAAAGAAACCAAAACCAATAATAAAAAAAAAAAATAACATGAATTCAAAATTGAAATATTTTCAGTTCAAAGACCAAAGTAACTTATGGTTTGGGAAGCTCTACTGCAATTACAAATGACAACTTGATAACTCTGTAATCGGATGAAAATTTAGGATCCTAAACCATGTATAAGGATCGCTAATGGCTGAGGAACCCTGAATGACAAAACGATGCTTGTTCTTTTGTTTGTTTTGATGTTTTCTATATTATGTCATCCTATCATTTGTCAACACAAGGGTGTTTTCCTCTTTAAAATTCACATCCATATGTCAAGTTATGAATAGGATATTGTAGCTCGTAAAACAATAAAAACTGTACTGTTAAAGACCACGGACACACTAATTAAAATATGCTGTAATTTAGAAAACATGGCGTTAAAATCAATAAAGGTTAAACAGGAAAATGTCAAACTCGCCTTAGAACAACAAACATAAATCATGAAGCTTATCAAACATCAAGTCTTTCAGGCACATTCCTGAACAGGAGCGGGTGATGACGCCCCATTTAGTATTCAAACAACCATCATCACACTAAAGAGGAGCATGTGTAAAGAACTTTTGTGTCCTTCAATACAGCTGCTATACTTGGTTTAGTTTAAATAGCTTTCTACAGATATATGGACACTGTCATCCATTTAATTAACATTAATTAATGTAAATGAGAAGATATTTTTTCAATTTAACTTTTCAGAAGCTTGAGGTCAATTTTTTCAAGTATCAAAAAGTAAAATACATTAAGATTAGATTACATTAGATTTTTACCAAACTTCGTTTTGTAAAAAATATATGAGAAGAATATTTACATAACTGGAAAAATAGTACAGATTTTTGAGGCTCGGTCACAAAACAGTTACTGTTAGTGTTTGTATCCAACTATACCTTATCTTATACAAATGTGTATACACGTGCGTTAGCATATTTGTGTGTGTTCATTTGTGAGAATTTAAGAAATCTGAAATTAGAAATGAAATATTTAATCTCTCATTTCTAATTTATTGAAATAATAATCTAAACTTGAACGGCAACTGTTTTTGTAAGTGTCAGGCACAAAACAAGGTTTTTTTTTATTCCTATGGCCTAACTAAACCTTTAGTTTGTCTCATATGTCATCATTTTTACATTTGACACTTTGACCGTTACAACGGTGAACCGGCACGGTGCCGGAATACTTCAAGAGGTCTGCGTGGAATCAGGTCTCTGGATTCAGGTTCTCAGAGAGCTCAGTGTTGTTGTCAGGAGCTGGAAGGCAGTGATACATTGTTAGGACATTCATTTTGTTCCAGGCTACAATCTGCCTGACTAACACAAACTACCACAGAGTGTAGGTCAGACCAGATGAACACCAAGGAAAAACAAAATACTTACAATTGGAAGGGTTCTCGGCTGAAATAAAAAGAAAATGAAAAATTAATCTCTGTACCACAGAACATCCAGTAGAAAAAATCCACAGTCATCATACTGTTTCTAAATGACTTTGAAGGGTTATTATCTAATCTTGTTGTTATTGGAGAACAGCACCGCTAACTAAGTGCGCTAAATCTGTGATAAACACACTCCATTTCCTACGGCTTCTTCACAATAAAAGCCCCTCGATGGTTTGCTGGTGGAAAACTTTCTATATTAACCAGCCCCAGCAGGAAATGTTTGGGTATAAGAAGCAGTGAAACAAAATTTAACAGAGCTTTAAACTAAATGCTAACATTAACATGCTAACATACTCACAATGACAATGTTAATATGCCGATGTTAACAGGTATAATGTTAACCATGTTCAATTAGTGGTACAAAGTTCAGCTGAGGTTGATATGAGTGTCATTAGTTCTGCAGGTATTAAAACAAATTAAAACTTTGATCTGATTGTGGTCCATCAAGTAGTTGTCAGGATATTTCAGTATGGGTCAAAGTGGTGGAACGACACAGAGACAGCATCATCGATAGAGTCGTGCTGCTTTCATGGCATGGAGTTTTCTCTTTGGCCATACACGTTGGGCCAAACCTAACCTGATGAGGAAGACCTCCCCTTGATTTGTGAAGCAGCATATTATATGCATATGAGGTCACTTTCAAACAGAATGAGGACTTTAGATTTCGTCTTTCGCCTGGTACAGTGCAGGTGACAGGAGGAAGGACTATAGCAATTAGTTTCAGTCTCTCACCTTTTTTCTTTTTGTAAACTAGGATCCCTGTGGCCGCTATGAACACGATAGCCACTGTGACCACTGCAGACAAAGTGACGAGGAGTGTTGGGACACTGGGATTCTTGACTGAACAAAACAACAGAAGACAAAGGGGTAAGAAATCAGATTCTGTATGTGAGATGCAAGAAGGGAGAATATTAGTTCACTGATAGCTACACACATCTAGTTACTATTTCCATCTGATGGTTTCCTGCTGTCTATTAAAACAGATAAGGTCGATGTAGATTAATTATTGCAGTTATTTATTAGTTGGTTTAAAGAGTTCCTTTGCAGAAAGCTCTCTAAGAACATGTTTTTTTTTCATAAACTACAAGTTCATTTGAAATCTTTTAGCCCGGATTCTGTAAAAATCGTGCTGGAAGAGCGAAGTAAGCAAGCAAACACTGACTATAGAGAATGGTCCCTTCAAATACTTTTTATACTGTTTAGTCTCATCTGTGACAGTGCATTGCACATACTGTATGTTCTATATGTAAAATCTTGGATAGATGTAATGATGTGAAAAAGCACATTAAAAGAGTAATAGTTTGAAGTAGTAAAGAATACAAATACACAAGTAAAGTACAATTACCTCAAAACTGTACTTATGGGAATAGTTTGACATGTTGGAAAATAAACTTATTTGCTTTCTTGTTGAGAGTTAGACTAGAAGAGTGATACAACTCTCATGTCTCTGGCACTGCCAAGAAGTCAGTGTTCCCACCCAGGAAATAGTCTGAAAGATAAACACCCCCGCAACACCGTATGTGTTGTTTTTACGCTTTTTACTTGCAGCTTAGAAAAACAATATATAAGGTCTTAACCAACGAGCTTAACAGGTGCTCGCAGGTGAATTTTGTGACCTTTGGACACAGCCAGACTAGCTGTTTACAGCTGTTTCCTGTCATTATGCTAAAATAAGCTGGCCGCTGGCTGTAGCTTCACGTTTATGGTACATACATAAAAGTGTTATCAACCTCACAACTCTCTGCAAGAAAGTAAATATTTCCCAAAATGTTTAACTGTTCCTTTAAGTATACTCGGTCTGAGTGAAAATTGAAAGGTGGCAGCAGATTCAGACTTCGAAACGTCATTACTGATGCTGAAGTGATGTTCGTTGCTTCTTGTATTATATATAAACAGTCCAGTTCGGTGTATGCAAAAAAGAAACGGATCAATTAAACATCTGACTAAGCAGAGTGATTGCATGTTTTCCGCCTGTCCTACTTACCCCAGTTAGTCTTGATCACGGCTGGGTCCAGCTTGATGACTATGTCATCCTCAACACCGGAGAGCTGAAAAACACACTCGTACCGCGGCCAGTCGTCAGGTTTGACCAGCGACAGATCGAGATCCACGCTCATCTGGAAGGTGTCGTCATGGTTGTGAAGGAGCTCGCTGTGGTCCACATGCTCGTGAAGATCCTCTCCATCCCTGCTCCAAAATATAACGGCCTTGCCAGGGTAGAAACCTGTAGCATGGCAGGTCACTGGAGACAAGGGAGTCTTCTGGAGGAGAGACAGCAACGGACGGTCTAGAGAAGGAGAAGGCAAGACACACCAAGAAAGGTGCTCATCTCATTTCCAGGTTATGAACATTTAATATGTTGCCACTCAAAGCTGAGGGCCTTCTCAGCCAAAAATGAGAGGGCAGTTTAACTTATTTCTAACTTTACTTAAACACCCAAATGTTGACAGCTAAATTTAAAAAGATTTGATCACGGATTCGAAAAGATTCAAATTCAATAAGAACATTTTATATTAGATTCTGGTGGATGTCCCTTCACACACGGTGAACCCCTTAGTCCAGAATGCAGCAGCTCATCTGGTTTTTGATCAGCCTAAAAGGTCATCGACCTCCACTGGCTACCCATGGCCACTTGAATCAAATTCAAGTCACTAATGCTGCCTTCAGAGTGACTTCTGGGTCTGCTCTTTGGATAAATGAGTAAATGTAAGGTAAATGTACATTTAGACTAGTTAGATTTTACCAACCCTAAACTCTGCTCATACCTGTTTTCTGCAGAGTGCTCTTCTGATATTTCAAACTGTTCTTCAGCGTCACAGGGCACTCCTGGTTCAAACGGTGATCCATGAATTCTAGCCAACCTTTGTCATTATTCCACTTATGTTGGGTTATAAGAAGTTCAGGTTTTAAAGCAATCCACCTCTGTGCATTCACGTCCAATGTTAAGATGTCTTCTCCTTCATAACTAACTAAATCAAAACCATTAACATCTCCAGTCTCATCATCCCATTCACAGCCATGCAACACCTGCAATACATGGATTCCTGGGAGAAATGAAAACACAAAATTGAAAAATTATAACATATTATAAATAATCATTTATAATAATAAATAACATTAGACAAATGAAAATTTCAACATGATAATGGAAAGTCATAGGATCACTAAAGGGTGGAGGTTGTTGTTACATGGTTGACATGCTGATGTACTGCGGTAAGCATATTGTCACAACACTTCTGGTTGCTGGTGTCTCATGTTTTGTTTTGCTAGAAGAACACAAGGTCAACCCCAGGTTTCTGTTCAGTCCTGTAGCCAGGCTGACAGACAGTCATAGCTCTATTAAGCCATCTATTCCTCCTCAGTAGTGACTTTATGAGTTTCTTTAGAAATACTATTAGAGGGAAAAAATCACCATAAAAAGTAGTTGCAAACCAGTTATTTGATTATTTGCATATAAATGGTCTGTTTGAAGATTTTCAATCAGGATTTAGAGTCCATCATAGCACAGTAACAGCTCTGGTTAAGGTTACCAATAATCTTGGAATGGCCTCAGACAATGGACTCGTCTCTATACTCGTCCTATTAGATCTTAGTGCTATATTTCCTTGTCCCCCCCCTTTTAGCAGTAAGAAGTGAAATATTTAGTAAATCAATACAAAAGTAAAACAAACCTCTGGTCTGGTTAAAGCGCCTCTTTAATATCTCAATTCTGTTCCTGCATCTCCGCTCTTGTTCCTCGGTGAACAATGTTTGTCTTTTCCAGTACTCCGGATCGTCTGCTGTGACTTGGTTCATCCAGACCTGTGTGGGTACTGTTCTCTTGGTGTTGCTGTAGTAGTGATCTGTTTGAATTCCATCAACAAGCATAACTGCCACAAAGTCTGGGAAGTTTGGGACCTCGGTGGATGCAGTGTAGACATGCTTCAGGGAGTGCAACACTGTAGGGAGAAGCAGTCACATAAAACTTTCAGACTTACAAATGGGTATTTTGGTACAGCATCTAATTACAGCAAGGCAAACTTAAAGATTTAGGGTTTAAATGTTACTAATGCTGACTGACAATGATTCTGAGCCCAGATTTGAATATTTTATTTTTCAATTAGAAGAGACCTCAGGTGATAATTGCACTTTAGTTATTTTATATTGTAGTCCTATATTTGGGCCCAGAAGGGACATTAGAAAGATTAAAGATTTATATAAAGTGTATGTCCTCTCAAGAAGCAGCAGCAAAATTTGACATTCCAAGTAGAACAAATTTTTCTTTTTCTTTTTGTTGTTTTTTAAATTACAATTTTTTTTATATACAGCTGAAATATGGTTGTCCTGTTTGTATGATTTTTTTATTGCCTATAATTCAAGTATAAACTTTCACAGAACCTGACATTTTTATTTTCAATTACTTTTTTCCTCCATCTTACTGTAAATACTCCGGCTTTAACAGGCATCACCGTCAGTGGGTGCAGCATTACACTGTACCCCTCTTGGACTTTTTACATAGATGAGGGGGCCAGAATATTAAACACACCACTCAATATAATCCAGTCCAGTTCAAGGTACAACACCGTCCCTGACTGTGGTGTCAGTAATTAACAAATGGTTCTATCAAAATCTCACAGTGAAAACGAAACCCATTATCATTTTCTTATAATTGTGTCCCAAGTTCAAATTGATGACAAACTTTTCAAAGAACAAAGGAATTTTTAAAATTTGAGACACACACAAACATTACACTTGTTTGTTTTAAACAAGTCACATATATAACAGCATACTAGCCTAAATGCATGCGTTGCCTACCAGTTAACCGGCACTAAGACTTTGATGAAATGACGCACTTCACTAGTTAAGCTAAATATGGCATCATTAAACTGCAGTTCCACATACTTAGTACTGATGATAGCAAGATGTTAAATGCGATCTTACCTGGAGATGCAACATGACATGAAAGCAGCAGCAAAAGTAGTTCCCACATCGCGGTTTGACAACTTGTAAAAAGAGCACAGAAAAATGAGTGAGGGAGATCTCGTGAAGACTAGCGCAGTATGAGGTTACAACAAGATGTAACCCTAGGGGCAAAATCCTGTCCAATAGAAATTCAGAAAAGTCTCACACGTCATATGTTACTAGGCGGATTTTATGAACTGAGGTTAATTCTGATACTGAAACTATGTTTAAACTATGTAACATATTGCATTTAGGAACACCACTTCCAGAGATCATTAAACTTAAATCTCACTATAAATTCATAGTATTATTAGAAGTAAGTACGTAAATAAAATTGTTTATCTGAATGTGACACCAAACGTGCTAACGTGATGACTCTTAAATACAGAAAGTGAAAGCTCACTCAGCAGCTGAGGAGATGGCTGTCTGTCAGAGTTGTTTTGCAAGTATTCAGAGACTCGTCTTCAGTTGAGCTGGCAACATTACGCGCGCATATGATATGACCATGATATTCTACGTTGTAGAACAAAATTGAAGGCATCAGAACTATGAAACAACATATGGAATTATGTTGTAAACTAAAATATATATTTCTTTAATTTAAAAACATATGTTTCATATTTTAGATTCTTCAAAGTATCCATCATTTACCTTGATGACAGCTTTGCACATATTGGCGCTATCTTAACCAGCTTCTTGAAGTAGTCACCTGGAACGCTTTTCAATTAACAGGTGTGCCCTGACAAAAGTTGATTAGTGGAATTCCTTGCCTTCCTAATGCATTTGAGATGATCAGTTGTGTTGTGTTGGTAGTGTTGGCATATGGTAAGTAACCCTATTGGACAACTGTCCTAATCAAGATTGTGTGAAGAACTGTTGAACCAAGTAATGAGAAATGACAGTCCATCATTACTTTAAGACATGAGGGTCAGTCAACCATCCCAGGAAAGGAAGACCAAGACTTACCTCTGCTGCAGAGGATAAATTCATTGGAGTTACCAGCCTCAGAAATTGCCAGTTAACAGTACCTCAGATTAGAGCTTACATGAATGCTTCACAGAGTTCAAGTAGCAGACAAATCTCAACATCAACTGAGATAGTGTGTATCAGGCCTTCACGGTCAAACTGATGTAAAGAAACCACTACTGATGGAGGCCAATAAGAAGAAGAGAAAAAACACAAGGAATGGACATTAGACCAATGGAAATCAGTACTTTAGTCTGATGAGTCCAAATGTGAGATTTTTGGTCCCAACCACTGTCCTTGTGAGATGCAAAAAAGGGGAACGGATGGTATCTGCATGTGTGGTACCCACCAAGAAGCATGGAGGAGGACATACGATGATGTGAGGGGGCTTTGCTGGTGATGCTGTTGGTGATTTATTACCAACATTAACCTAATATATAACCAGCATCACTACCAAAGCATTCTGCAATGATGTGCCATCCCATCTGGTTTGTGCTTAGTGGGACCATCATTTGTTTTTCAAAAGGACAAGGCTACGTAAGGCCGGTTTAACTAAGTAGTGAAGGAGTCACATGTCCTGGCCTCCACAATCACCGAACCTAGACCCAGTTGAGATGGTTTGGGATGAGGTGGACTGCAGAGTGAAAGAAAAGCAGCTCAACATCTATGGAAACTCCTTTAAGACTGTTGGAAAAACATTGCAGGTGGCCTCATGAAGCTTGTTGAGAGAATGCCAAATCCAAAATCTAAAACATTTTACTTTATTTACATTTTTTTTGTTTACTAAATAATTCTATTTGTCTTATTTCATTGCAGTGATGTCCTCAGCATTGTTCTACAATATTAGAAAAACAACCATTGAATTAGAAGGTGTGCTTAAATTTTTTACTGGTACTCTATATCCATGTATTTGGGATAATTGTCAGAAAGTAAATGAAAAAAGGCAAAGGGTTATGGCATGTAACAAGGGTCTTGGCTGTAATTGAATGTGCGTCATTGTGAATATGTTGGTGCTTTAACCAATCAGCCACGAAAAGCCCCTGTTTAATTGCCTAATTTGTCCACATCGATTACTAACGACATAAACTGGGCACCTTTGAGTGCATTTTTGGGACAATACAGAATTAATTTGGAATGCTGCAGCTATATTCATATCTCTGTGTGATGATATATCCACTGATGGTCACTGTTTTCTGCCCTTGCAGCTCAGGGGATGGCAGTGTTGGTTGGTTGGTCCAGACTCAATGTCTCAACATCTATCAGTAGATTACAATAAAAGTTGGTTCAGACACTCATTCTCCCCACAGGATAGGAAGTATGTGCAGTCATTGGTAATTTCAAATGCGTGTGTGGCTCTGCCCTGGTCAGTGTGGCTGACTTCATATTCTGTCAATAATGTGTAATTCAAACCTTTGAATTATGTGTATTCAGACGGTGAGATCGCTCACTGGAAAGCCTCCTCCTGACACCAACATTTTCATTTTGTATTAGCAGTGATTAATATCTGGAGAGGCTGGCTGACCTCCAACACGTCACACTGAGAACAAAAAGCAACACTGATGCATCAGCGTCACACTCGTCCTGGACTGACTTAGGTTTCACTTTGACTGGATGATTATTAAAACACACTGACCTGTAAATGCACAGTCCATTATAAATACATATGAAATATGATTGTCTTGTCCTTTCCTCCTTGGAAGAAGCAACAGTCCTGTTTATCTGATTTTTTTTTAATGCCTATAATTCAAGTATAACATTTTTAAGAACCTGGTATTTTCATATTCACATCAACCGTCAACTGAAATGTCAGCTTTTTTCCTCCACCGTACTGTGAATACTCCGGCTTGAACAGGCATCACAGTCAGTGGGTGCAGCATTACACTGTGCCCCTCTTGGATCTTTTACATAGATGAGGGGGCGGGAACATTAAACACACCTTCTCAATATTATCCAATCCAGTTCAAGGTGCAACACCGTCACCGACTGTGCTGTCAGTAATTAACAAATGGATTAATTTAAATCTCTGACAGTGAAAGTAAAAACTGACAACAGCTGACAACATTGAAAAGGCAGAGCTGTGTTGAACTACGTTAGACTGTGCAGGTGTAAGTAAAAAGTGGTCGCTATCTAGCATTAACTTACTATACATGTATATGTGTATATATGTGAGCACACACATATACACATATACACTCAGCCACAAAAACTGCAATAAACAGATGAACTGATTCCAGTCATTTTTATTCGTCCATTATGTTTGAACTTGACTGCAGCATTTCCCCTGCAGAATTCGAAACAGATTTTGAAACAGCATTAAGATCTTCAAGTTAGGAAATGAAAAGTATGGAGGTTGTATTTCAACAGTTAAATCAACAACAGCAAATCCAAACATTCTTGACAATAGTTTTCGTGGGTTTCAGGTTTACATCCGCTGTCGCTCACCAGCACGGAAACAAGTAACAGTAGTAGCGCCACAACTGTTTTGAGACGCGAGCTGAAGATCTGTCTGTGAAAACGACGTGGTTCATAAACGCAGACACAATTTGTCATCTGACCCCAACAGCTGTGTCTGAGATGATTCGCGCTTGGTGTGGAGGCTTGAATCATAACCATATCGCGTGTTACCTGCAGCTTCCCTCAACTCTTAAGGGGCTTATTGTTCAAGGGCTTTGGTTCAATGTTTGTTACCAAATATATAAAACTGGCGAATAATACGACACCAGGATAGTAGTGATCATTTGTATCTTCTGCAAGCAAGTTCAGTTATGAGACGATAAGAGACGCTAATATTGATTTTCCTTCACGTCTACGCGCTCGATTCTGTCCTCAGTCAGAAGACGAGGAGGTGACGGTGAGGAAACCACGGGTTAAAAGACATCAGGAGGGTTTCTGAGCTTTTTTTTACTTCAAGATAAAATAAAAAAGAAATAGTCATGGGAGTGTTTGGTTTACATGTAGCTGTAAAAATAGCTCACTCATGGAAAATCGATACGCCACCCAAATGCTACTGGAAAACGTAAGTGAAACGAATGGCGTGCTCCCCAACAGCGTGCACACGATATCCACTTCAAATGGACGAGTGCAGAACAAGGGAGCAAAGCATACATGCTGCTTATTCTCTATCGGCGTATTGCCTGTATATTGAGGCACACTTCCTTGGGGTGTTTAGCGAAACACACAATTTGCTTTAATAATTGCTGTGTTGGCTTTCCCAACAAACCGCTGCAGTGCAGACAACAGGAGAACCCATTAGTTAGGCCTATGTGTTGTTATGTTCGTGCAGTAGAAAAGGTTTAATCTTTGACCCTGAGCAACCATGAAACTCATGAACTCATAAAAAAGGAAATAATATGAGACTTTCATGAGCGTGAGGGTTTTGACCACCCAACTCACTGTCAGTCCTGACAGCTCACAGGAGAAGTTCATTTTGCAAATGCTACAGAATGCCTGTCTTATTTTCCAGCAGTCAGGTGGGAGTGACGCGGGCAGAGGCCAGGCCTCTCCTCTGACAGGGGTGTTTGTAGAAGCAGGACAGCTGGCTGAAGCGCCGGTCGCAGATGGAGCACCAGTACGGCCTCTCGCCGGTGTGCGTCCGCAGGTGCACCGTCAGGTTTCCCTTCTCCACGAAGCCGCGGCCGCAGTACGTGCAGGTGAACGGCTTCTCGCCCGTGTGGCTGCGGACGTGCCGCACCAGCGTCGCCCTCCTGCCGAAGCTCTTCCCGCAGACCGTGCAGCCGTACGGCCGCTCGCCCGAGTGGATCCTCATGTGCGTCCTCAGGTTCCCCCGCAGGGTGAAAGTCTGGCCGCAGACGCTGCAGCGGAACAGCGTTTCTCTGTGAACTCGGAGGTGGAGCTTCAGGTTCTCGGTGCGCTCCAGATGTTTCCCGCACACGCCGCAGTCTCTCAAATGTGCCGAAGTGTGAGTGAACAGGTAGCTCCTCCTCTGGAAGGACTCGCCGCAAACTTGACAGGTAAACACCGGTGGGAGCTGATGTGAAGGTTTGTGCTCCTGCGACAGATCAGCGGAGCTCTCCACTTTCCTGCTCGGAGGTGAGCTCGGACCTTCTGTCTCTCCCGTCTCCTCTGGTTTCCAGAGTCCTGCAGCCTCTCTCCAGTAGTCTCCACTGTCTTCAGTGTCAGAGCCCTCAGCCAGGAGCCGGCCATCACCCGCTGCCTCTGCACCACCGGCTGGATCAACGTGACTCTCACCATTCTCACCACCAGCCTCTGTTTTAACGTGAGCAATCGAGGTCCCGACGTTGGTCTGATCCATACTGCCGGCCTGGTCCATCTGGGCGCACAGGATCTGGTCTTCAGGGCAGTTTTTTATCCAGGAGGAAGCCTGCAGAGGGTCTGAAGGGAGGCAGAGGATCACAGAAAAAACGAATTAAATTGTTGATCTTTTTTTATACAAAAAATAAAACACAAATCTTAATACTTCAGTTGCTTTTAGTTTGTCTCCATCTATTTCTCAACAAGTGCACAAACACACAACTGTTAATAGTATTTTTGTTCGTCCAACAAACAGTGTTCCTCTCATAAACGTGAGCCCTATAGGTAAACTGGGAGCAGTGTTCTTGTAGAAGAGGACTTTTACAAACAGGTGAAACCAGTCTGTCTTCAGGTCCATGCGTCAGGTTCAGTGTCGTGTTTTAACTTCTGGTTCTGCTGCTGAAAAACTGGATCTGTAAATTCACCTTAATTCACCTTCGAATTTTTAAGGATCTGCACACACCCTGTGAATAATCCCCGCTTAATGTAAAGGCAGTGGTGGAAAGTAACTGAGTACAAGCGAGTACAACCATTAAGGGTTCAGGTACTGTACCTGTACTTCACTTGATTTTTTTCAGTGACTCTAAAGTCCACTTCACTTCAAAAGGAAGATACTGGACTCTTTCCTACACTACATTTATTTCACACGTACAGGTTCAAGCTACTTTGCAGATGATTTTGTTTTTGCAAACTGGTGGATATGGTGCATCGTTATATGTGAACCTCTCCAAACAGATTTGAAACTGTTAAAACCAGCTTCATTTTAGCTGTCAATGACATTACAATGATCCTTACATGTCAATGCATCAGTATTTTTAAAATCAGTAATAAAATATATAATAATATAACAATCACAAAGGCCATCTTCCTGCATTATGAGTAGAGCTGTACCAATAAACCGGCCAGGTTCATATACTGATAGAAGCTAAATACATCAGTACATGTATGTCATGTATGTTTACTTTTGATACGTTTTGTTGGTATTACCTGTGTACTTACATGGATCGATAAATCAAGCTGCAGATATATTGGCATCAGTGTATATGTTGGTCAACAGGTAGGAAGAAATTTCTGGACAAAAATGCCGAACAGTGTTTGTGGTCATTTAGTAACAATGTGATGTTAAAGTAGACTGTCCACCAGAGGGCACTGACAAGTTTATTTTTACTGTCAAATGTTCTACTCGGTGTCCATATCACATCCATAGTAAGATGGTTTATTTTAAGGCTATCTTGTTGGACTTGTTGTAGCAACAGAAAATCATTTAGTACATGTGCTGTAGAGCTGGATCAATAATTTGGCTGGATCAATATATCAGCCAATATCAAGTGACTGCATATATTGATAGGGCTGTAAATATCGGCCGTCAGTCAGAATTGTTATAAGCTTTTTAAAAACTTTGTTAAAAAAAATAATGATAAGAGAATCAGTCTGAAAATACAACAGGCTATGAGTCGCCATGGCAACAACTACAGGGGATTGAAATAAACAAAAAATAATGAACAGTTTTTTTGTCTTTAGTAAATCACTTTGTAACTTTGTTGAGAAAAGCTCTATATAAATAAAGTTTATTATTTAAAATAATGGAATATTTTTACACTGTGGTACTTCTCCCTAAGGACCTGAACACTCCCTCCACCACTGTGTAAAGGGAGACACCAACAGACCTGCTGCCCGGTTCCAGCTGCTCTCCTCGGACCTCAGGCTGTCCAGTTGTCGCCGCTGGCGGTCAATCTGCTCCCGGTACCGAGCCACAGTTCTCCCGAACACCCCGAGGATGTCGTCCACCGCCGCGGTCAGCCGCTCGTTGAGGAACATCCGCAGGCTCTCCATCTCTGCCAGCGGGCCGCTCGGAAGCTCCGCTCCGCCGCAGCCGTCCACCGCTCCGGGAGGGAAGGACGGAGAGCAGCGCGGGGGCAACATCGGCTGGTCCGCGGACATGTTATTTTAATTTCCCCCGCGAAACACTAAATCCCTCCAGGCAATATTGCTGACAATGAAAAAGCCCCCGACAGATTGGCATTAAAGTAATAAACTGCTCCTGGATGAAAAGTAAACAAAACAGCTGAGGCCCACTCACAGGAAGACGTCGGGGGGAAACAATGGCTCCTCGTCAAAAGTTCCGGGTGAACAAAACGTTTAATTGTGGTGGAGGAAGAGTCCATAACTTTTTACCACTCTGTAAAAATAGTCTGTTAGGGGAATAAAAAGTACTTTAAATTTTAGCTTATGTAAAAGTACAAAGCTATCACCAGAAAATCGAATCAAAAGTAAAAATACAATTAAAAATGATTGCTGATGCATTAACACAGTAAGCAGCAGTTTAAGATTCAACTACACTGTGAAACATTATACATGAATCTAGTGGAATTAAATCATCTTTTCTCATTAACTTAATGTAAATGTGCAAATTATGTTCATTTCAAGTTAATTCAACTTCACATAGTTTTAACTTTCAGACTTTAAAATATAAACATATATAAACTTACAAACATGAGTAGTTATTAGTTCATATTTTTGAATATAAAATATGTTTTGAATGAAAGAACTGTCGAGACATTACTCAAATCATGACATGAACTTTCTAAGGAAACAAAACTTAGAATAATAACAGTCATGATAAAACATTGCTAAAACACAAACTTGAAATGATTTAGAGTGTACTTTAAGTTGGAGTTAAAAATACAATATTTGTATCTAACATTGTGACTGAAGTAGATGCACTTTAGCGCTGTAATTAAGTACAGTGCTTGAGTAAATGTACTTAGTTGCTTTTCACCACTGTTTGGATCCATTACTGAAGGTAAAGATACCACTTAAAGGATGTAAATACTTAATTACAAGTACAAGTCTTGAAGGCCACATCCTACCTACAGAAGTATAAAATGTACTTCACATATCAGAAGGAAAAGTACTTGTTCTTACTTTGTCATTCTGCCTAACATTATTAGACTGTTACGACTGACTGTGATATGTTCATGGAGAACAACCATAAACACAAATGACACACATTTATGGAGAAAAGAAAAAGTGTCCGGGGTTTAAATGGTGTCAATATCTAAAAGGAGATGGGGACAGTGGAAGAAGATGACAAACAGATGTAAAAACCCAGAGTAATGTTGTTAAAATATTTCCACTGAGCATTGCACTTGACCACAAACATTCATTCCATGTACTTTTAATGGTACCACTTTGTAGCTGCTTACGAACACAGAGTAATGGGACGTCTCAACCACAAAGTGGCACTAAAGTCAAGTTAATGTAAACAGCCTGGAAGGTCTGCTGTGTCTCCATTCCTCAAATGAACCTTTTCAACTTTCAAAAGACTTTTATTCTTGTCATGCTGACAACATAATTTAAAACTGGTGAATGCAGCACTTCAAAGCTGAAAGAATAACGTCTTCCCCTGATGAACTGAATTTTTTTAAGATGACAGTATTCTGGACCAAAACTCAAATATAAAAGACAAAAAGGCTCCTCTTATGTTCAGTAGTACTGAAGCATTAAGGTTCATTTTTAAAATAGAAAGAGAGAAATTTCAAAATATAAATCAAGCATGATTGATGCAAAGGAAATAAACTCCACCGTGTCGGTTGCTGCTCCTGTTGGTTATCCTTAGATTGGATGAAACTGGACTTCAGTGTTTCACTTCCCTCTCTCAGCACAGTGACCATGGAAACAGACAAGCATCACTGCTGAACCATGGCAACAGACAAGTTTCAGTACTAAAGATAAAAAAGATGTTGAAAGTGGCAGTAAGTGTGACATGAATTTGAATTTTACCAAACTACAAAATTCTTCTTGGTTTTAAGTCATATATAGTAAAGTTGATATTTAAAAACAAGTCCCTGATATGAAGACTAACAATTAAGCTTCACATGTTAGATGATATGTTGAGGACAGCTACAGTTCACTGACTCTGTGTGTTTGCATATGTGTCCTGCCTCTCTGCTCCCAGCCGTTAAGAGGCCAGTGTTGATCAGTGGCTGTCCAGGCCTTTCAGAGCCACTGACACGCCGGCAGCACAATGATGATGTCTCTGACTCTACTGCTGGCCACCCTGGGGCTCCTTGTTCAGGGTGAGACTCTCTTGTGAAAACTTTGCTTCAGGATGCAACCAGGTTCACCACAATGATGTTCTGCTGTGATGGAGAAACACTCAAACAAGCAGCATTGACCTTCTTCCATCTGTTCTCCATGTTAAAGAAATCATCCTCTTCTGTTTGGATGTTGATCATCTTTCTCCAAGCTGGATTTGTCTCAATAACCCTTCTCCTCTTCTTCATGTTTTCCAGGTTCATCAGGAGAAATCACTGTGACTCAGTCTCCTGGATCTCAGTCTGTTGTTCCAGGACAGACTGTCTCTATCAGATGTCAAACCAGTTCAGATGTTAGTAGCTTCCTCAACTGGTACCTTCAGAAACCTGGAGAAGCTCCTAAACTCCTGATTTATGGTGATACAACCCGTGAATCTGGAGTTCCAGATCGTTTTAGTGGAAGTGGAACTGACCCTGACTTCACTCTGACCATCAGTGGAGTTCAGGCTGAAGATTCAGGAGTTTACTACTGTCAGAGTGCACATGTTATCAACAGTCTGTGGGTGTTCACACAGTGAAAAAGCGTCGTACAAAAACCTCCCTCAGGCTGCAGAGGAACTGATCTGACTCAACAGCTGCACTGAAAGTAAAACACTGGAGGTTTGACTGCAACATGTTCTCATGCTGTTGAAAAGTTTCATCTGATAGAAAATCTGTATTTATTTCATTTACTATAAAACATGATGAAATATTTTACTTTTTACACACACACACAACACACACACAACACACACACAACACCACACACACACACACACACACACACACACACAACACAACACACACACTCACACACACACCACACACAACACACACACACACACACACCACACACACACACACACACACACAACACAGGTTTCTTCTGTAGTAACTGATTTTAACCTCCATGTAACATTCATTAATTTGGATCCCTCAGCAAGACTTTACTGTGCCCCCCTGCATTGCAGTCAGTTTCACAACCATGTTCAAAACACTCACACAGAAACTGCATTAGCTTTTCTTTGAGATTATATTTTCTTTTAAAAGAAAATAACCCACAACATTAAAAACCGTATTAGAAACAAATGACATAAAATTGAATCATATATACAATATAAATAAGCCATTGCACAATATAAAATATTAAAGAAACCAATGAAGACAGTAAGACTTATTGCACGAGCAAAAAATATTAACTGCAAATGCAATATGAATAATGTAGTTGCATAATGTGTTCTACAGCACACATGGGCAAGTTTTGTCTGGTGCTGACAATCCGCCAGTGTCTCGCTTTCACATTGAGTCGTCAAGCCCTCTGTGTTCATGTCTGCCAAGGGGGAAGGTCTGTATAGTGGCCCTACCCGAGCCATTAGGTGATCACATGCTTTTGTTTTTCATTTGGTAGGTGAATCTAGTACTGACACAGACTTACTGAACTCAGGGAAACAGCTGTATTCACCACGTGTCCATTTGTATTTTATGTAATCAGATATATTTGAATTTTATTATTATGTGTGTCTTTAGATTTCACCTGGAAATAGGTCTAAAATCTCTCTAGTTTTGCTCTGCTTCACTATCTCAATATTGATTTTGAGACATGTAATGTTCAGATGTTGTAGTAATGGTGTAGTAGAGGTTGTGGCTGGCACTGCAGCCAGGGAGGGGGACCGGGGGGCGTCAGGAACCAAGAAAAAAAGGCCTCTCCATTATTTAATAGACTTTCGTATGTAGTTGTGTTGTTATGTGGGCTTATGTTAATATTTAGAAATAATAGTTTTAAAAAGTATAAGTAAATAGTAAAAGTTCAACATTTTGATTTTTTTTCTTCCCCCATTTGCAGCGCCCCCTATGTATGACGGCGCCCCCAGCATTCTCCTATACTGCCTGTGTCATGGGCCGTCGCTGACTGTGACACAGGTGAGCAACACAAAAAGTAGAGTCATCCCACAAAGAAAAGAAATCACAACCTAGTTGCTTTGCAAAGTTCAAAGTTACAAAGTGAAGAATTATTTTATGTAAAAACACTTTGTTCTTTTACAATTGTTACACAAAGTTAATGGTTTTCATTCATCTCCATGAGGATGATTGAAAGAGTCAGTGTTCCAGCAGCGAGGAGGACACAGCATGATATGTTGAGGACAGCTACAGTTCACTGACTCTGTGTGTTTGCATATGTGTCCTGCCTCTCTGCTCCCAGCCGTTAAGAGGCCAGTGTTGATCAGTGGCTGTCCAGGCCTTTCAGAGCCACTGACACGCCGGCAGCACAATGATGATGTCTCTGACTCTACTGCTGGCCACCCTGGGGCTCCTTGTTCAGGGTGAGACTCTCTTGTGAAAACTTTGCTTCAGGATGCAACCAGGTTCACCACAATGATGTTCTGCTGTGATGGAGAAACACTGAAACAAGCAGCATTGACCTTCTTCCATCTGTTCTCCATGTTAAAGAAATCATCCTCTTCTGTTTGGATGTTGATCATCTTTCTCCAAGCTGGATTTGTCTCAATAACCCTTCTCCTCTTCTTCATGTTTTCCAGGTTCATCAGGAGAAATCATCCTGACTCAGTCTCCTGGATCTCAGTCTGTTGTTCCAGGACAGACTGTCTCTATCAGATGTAAAGCCAGTTCGGATGTTAGTAGCTGGCTCAACTGGTACCTTCAGAAACCTGGAGAAACTCCTAAACTCCTGATTTATAAAGATACAAACCGTGAATCTGGAGTTCCAGATCGTTTTAGTGGAAGTGGATCAAGGACTGACTACACTCTGACCATCAGTGGAGTTCAGGCTGAAGATGCTGGAGTTTACTACTATCAGCAGAGTAACAGCTTCCCGTTCACACAGTGAAAAAGTGTCGTACAAAAACCTCCCTCAGCTGCAGAGGAACTGATCTGACTCAACGGCTGCACTGAAAGTAAAACAACAGAAGTTGTACTAAAAGATGAAGTTAATACTGATCCACTTTAAATATTTTAACACTAAATGTACTGAATTTAATCCAGAAGGTTTATACTGTCAATCCTTTCATTAAAATCCTGTTTGGAACATTCTGCTGAACATGAAAGTTAACCTCAGCTGAGGTTTGGTAATGTGAAAACAGAAAGAGTGAATATTCTTTTCTCAGACCATTTTCATATGAACTTAAACATCATTGATTAAAATAATAGATAGGTAAATTCAATGTTTTATTGAATAAAATATAATGTTGTTCATTTAAAATTAACTCGTTATTCCACTACAACACATTTTAGTCATTTTTTCTTCTTTATATTCCAACAAACTGAAGTATTTCATCATTGAAGTCAAAGAGGATTTATGACTGGATGATTCTTCATTGAAATGTTTCTACCATGGGTTTAGTTACAAATGTGTTTTATTGAAGAAAAATCTGCAGCGACTATAGAAGAGACATTTTTACAGTCATGAAGAAGTTCATATTGATTCTGATCAATAATTATAGACTTTACTACTTCAATCACTGGTTCGTACTAATCAATATAAAATGAATAATTAAAACTGAGTCTATATACATTATGAATATATAGTATAAAAGGACATATATTAAGTAATCTTATACTCTCTATATAAATTCATCATGGTGGAAAAAAGTGTTTTATTGAAACTTTAAATGAATCAAGATGAAAACAAATGATTTGATGATCAGATTTTTATTATCTGGAAACACAGAAACAATATTGAAACACTGAGAGAAGCTGGTAAATATTGTTAGTGAAACATGTGAAATAAAAGAGAGAGAGACAGTGTCACAGAGAGCAGAGAGAGAGAGCAGGAGCAGAGTAAAACCAGTAGCAGAGTCCCAGTGAGTCAGGTCAGGACTGGGAACACTGGTCTCTCCTCAGTGTCTCTGAGAGCGGAGTCTGGGAGCCCTGGGTGGCCTCACAGGTCACAGAGCCCAGCTTGCTCCACTGGTCCGCAGGGAGCCTCAGGGTGCTGCTCCAGCTGTAGAGGCCGTCCTTCTCCAGCACCCCGGGGCTCCTGCTCTCCTCCCAGCTGCTGCTGCTGCTGCTGCTGCCCTCCACCTTCCAGGCCAGACTCCAGTCTGAGGGGAAGCCCTTGTTGGCCAGGCACAGGACTGTGACCTTCTCCTGCTGCAGCTCCTCACTGGAGGGGGGCAGCACCGTCAGGGTGGGACGGGCGTCACCTAGGAGACAACAATCAGCATCTGTCAATCAAACAGCAGCCACCTGGACACCTTTACTGTGTGACAGTTGATTTCCTCCTTTAAGGAGTTTCTGTCAGATGGTTTTTCTGCTCCACCAGTCACTCACTCACATTGTTTCACTTCCCTTTAAGAAACCTCTCATGCACATCAGCACAGAAAGAGTCCTCATATGAGCTGAAATACATCAAACTACACTGGAAACTAAAGAAGCTGATTTGACATTTCAACAGCTGCATTTTACTGCACTTTATATCACACTATTTAATGGAAACAATAAAATACTGTTTGAAAATATTTGCACTTTTTCATGATTTCCTTCAAAGTCCTGCTTCATTTATAATGAAACACATTTAGTGTCAAAAGCATGAAGAGCACAACAGTTAATCAGATCTACTGTTAAAGGACATGATCAGCCACAAATAACTGAGCAGCACATTTAAACATCAGACATATATCAATAAAACAGAAACCAACAGCCTCAGAAAACTTCAGTCTCACTCTTCACAATCATTTGAACTCAACTTCCAAACACTTTCAAATGTAAAGACTAAATGTGAAAACATTTCTACAGCAGGATTGTTGTTCTTCAATCTTTCCTGCACTTCACATTGTTCACGTTTCACAAATGAACTGGAACATGTAAAGAAAAGTTGAGTGAAGCTGCTTTGAGTTCAGCTTCATGGTTAAACAGGAGAAATCAACAATAACATAGAGATTTTAAAGTGATTTGGATCAGAACAATGGAAATTTACATCTCCTACAAATGTTCACACACAGAAATTACAAGCTGAACTGACGAGACAATATTTAATATTTGATGAGAAACTTACTTCCAACATCCAGTCTGGTTCCTCCACCAAAAGTCCACCACAGTGATACAAAGTGACTGAGTGGTCGTACAAAAACCTCTCACTGTAGAGAGACACGGCTCTCTGACTTTGACAACAACAAACTCAAATAAATCACTTCCTGTTTTTCAAAAACTTGAAATCTAACAATCGAAAATATATTTCAAAATAATTCCCTTTCTTAAATATATATATTTTTAATGTTTCTCAAACTAAAGTTGATCCTTCTAGTATCAAATGAAAACAGATGAAAGGATAGGAGGTTTTACAAGAAATTTATTTGCAGTCATTAATTAAATCACATAAACATGATCAGTGATAAATTCTAATCAATACTCTGATCAATTGATTGATCCATTAAGAAACAGCATGATCAGAGTGATCCAAGTCCCTGTTGGAGTCAGTCAGAGCATTTCCATAGAGAGCCACTTTGCATCAGCAGCACCATGCTCCAGTGCTCTGGGAGAGTTTATAGTCCTGAGAGTTGAAGACTGGATGACTGACAGCTGTCCTTCATGACAACAGAAGACACAGAAATCCTCCTCATCAGAAACATGACTTTGGTCTCCGTCCTCATCTGGACTCTCCTCTGCTTCACTCAGGGTGAGGAACATCATTTTTCTGTCATGTGAAAATCATTTGGAGTGTAGCTGAGTTTCACCTCACCATCTCATGTCCAGTGTTTCTTCTCTCTCCTCAGGGTCTGTTGGACAAAATGTTGTTGTGACTCAGTCAGCAGCCAAATCAGTGCAGCTTGGTCAAACTGTCTCTGTTGACTGTAAGGCCAGTCAAAAGTTATCATACCTGGTTCACAATACTCCTGTCCTGGTACCATCAGAAACCTGGAGAAGCTCTAAACTTCTGATCTATAGAACATCAGACAGTTTTCAGGAATCTCCTCCAGATTCAGTGGAGTGGAGCAGGGAATGGAGTTGACTTCACTCTGACCATCAGTGGAGTCCAGGCTGAAGATTCAGGAGTTTACTACTGTCAGAGTTATCATTTTAACTCAGTCAGCTGTGTTCACACAGTGAAAAAGCGTCGTACAAAAACCTCCCTCAGTCAGACTGAACAGAAACTGAATGACTGCTGCAGCTGGAAGCTACTGCAGAGACTGATACAGTTCACTGAGGACAACACACACACACACACACACACACACAACACCACACACACACACACACACACACACACAGTTGATGGTGTTCATAGTTTCTCCAGCAGTTTTCCTCCTGAACTTCAAACAGTTCAGTCCCACCTCAACAACCTGGACGTTTCCTCAAGTGAAGAAGAACAGTTCCAGTGAAGAAGCTCAATCAGACCATTAACATCACAACAACATCTGGCAGAGTCAGCTCCACTGATGTCACCCACAAACCAGACTCACAATATATCAACATAATCCACTACTATCGACAGAAGATTATAGTGACATGCCTAGCTTTGTGGCTGGCAGTAATGCTCTTCAAACACACTGCAAATGTTGCCTTCTAAGAGGTTCCAAAACGTAGTCGTCACTCCATTCTTCTTTTCCTTGCAGCATGGTATTGTGTGATATACGGTAATGCGGTGAGGAGTCTTCAGAGTTCACTGTCCAAGGTGCTTTAGTGTCGGTCCCTACTTTGCTCCTGTTTTATTGGAATAGAAATCAATCTAAACCATCAGAGCCTGAAAAGGAGCAACAACAGCAGCTGCAAAGTCAGCAAGACGTGAGTCGCCAAACACAGCACAGATGCACAGGCTCATGTTGTGAACTGAACTCCAATGACTGTCGTAGATAAGCTACGAAGTCCGAAACCAACTTTCAAACCAAACAAAGTCATGCCAACGACTGTCATTGATCCGCAAGTGACGTCCTTACGGACTGTCGTTATAACACAATAGAGCAACTAACGAAAGTCGAAACCAACTTCTCACGCAACAACGGTCGTGGCAAACGACTGGTCGTTTGACACTTGGAGCACAAACAGAAAACCAATGACATCATCAGCCTTGTGAAAACGCCCCAAGGGTTAAATGACTTGGGGTCTCACACACCAGAAAGTTAGACGCAGTTCCCAGCCTGGTCAGATGCGTACACGAACTGATGAAGCCTCTTGGATGAGAGGTGAAACGTCTTCCCAGACAAATAATCAAAGCCAGTTTCGTTTTGAGTAAAAAACTCCTTTAGGATACCCAATGACTGGACAAATGAGAATATACACAGGCTGGACTGTGTACTATCTGTTCTATGTTCATTATTGTGTGATCCTCAAAGGTGAGTAGGAGCCACACCGTCAAGTAAGCTGATCAAGTGTGTAAGAATCATGGTGACACACACACACCAGAGACATACACAAGTTTCTATGGTGAACGTCCGTTCGAGCTGCGAAAATATATCATGACAACATTTTACATGAAGAGAAAAATCAACCTTCTTTACTTGATCGTACTGACATCAAAGACACCATGTGTAGAAAAATGGAAAGTTAGTTTGCAACAATGGGAACAAGGTGAAAGAATCGACTATTTTTTGCGAGAGAGATCCCCTACCTGTAAACAACAACAGTATGTAAAGTGTTATATCATGTTATATAACATGCTGAGTTTGTGTGATCTCCAATGAGGATATGAAAGAGTAGTGTTCCAGCAGTGAGGAGGACACAGCATGATATGTCTGAGGACAGCTAGTCAGTTTCACTTGACTCCTGTGTGTGTTGGCAATATGTGTCGCTGCCTCTCTGCTCCAGCCGTTAGAGGCCAGTGTTTGATCAGTGGC